ATACTATTTTTACTTGCTTAATAAACATTCCTCCCTTATTAATCAGTGTGTGTCTTCTCAAGTAAAGCCTTGGTACTGAAACATTTCCACTGCTTGTTTACCAATTTTCTGTGTAATTTGTTAGCCTGAGGTTCAAGAAACAGTATTGTCCACTCCCCTACCCCCAGCCACTGTTTCTCTGGAGTCTTAAGTTAAGGTCTGGAAATCTCCAGGGTTGGGCAGAGTGATGTTAGACTTGTAGAAGTCAGTTGGCCCATAACCTGTTATACAGTACTGGGTTCACTATCTGTTATTGACACTGCACCACACTTTGACCAGTGTGATCATCAGAGTATGATCAGGTCCAGCAGAACATCAGAATCTTCCTGCTTTCCAGTAGTCAGTCTTTTCCAGAGTTCCCAGTAGCGGCAGACCTTGGTAATATGCCATCCTGTGTGAAGCCATTTGATGCCCTCCCCCCAGCCCTTAAGGTGCCTGTTTATGTTGTGCTTTGGAAGTTTCTAGGAGGACTCTAGGACACTGTCAGAAAGCTCTTCCTGAAGCTGGGCAAGCACTTACCGTGCATTGAAAAGGCACCCTCCTTGGCTGCATCATTGGTGTGACTGCACTGCTTGAACTGCCCTAAATCTGCCTCTGTTAGTATCATAAAGTCAGAAGGGACCTCGAGGGTCATCTAGTTTCCAGTTAAGAAAACTCATTGGCCACGCAGTTCAGTTCACAGTATAAAGTACGGTATTGTCTCACGGCAGAAGACAAGCATAAACACACTGATACACCATGAACTAATCTACTATAATACAGTTCTCTGGTCTTAGAAATAATTTCATAAAGAGAGAACTTTACAGAGAACTCCATTAGCACTTTGCCATGCTAGTGAAGGGGCCAAAGAGACCCTCTTGGCCTAAGTGCAGCCATGATTGCTTCTCCCACATTTAGCTGACACCTAGTGCTTTTAGCGGAAGGTTACCGGTAAATGGTCAGACTTAGTGGATGGAAGTTTCCAGTTAGTGTTGAAACCGTAGTGTCCAGGAAGAAGAGGATGGAAACAAAGACTAATCACATAGCTTGCTTAAAGCTGCTTTTTGAGGAACTAAGTTCTCAAATCTAACTCAAGATAGACCGTAAGGTTTTCCTTTGGATACCCATGCCTAAGCTTAATGCTAATTAGCAACTGCTTGACTTTAGCCAATTAGGTCTATAATCACACATTTTTCACATGTAACAATGTATTGGAACCATATAAGTGCTTGCCGTGCACTCTGAGGAGTTGTACAGATTCTTTGAATGTTAGCTTACTCTCTGCCTTCTGGCATGGCTGAATAAACACACTGGCTTCCCACCTTGGTATGATTCTTTGGCTACCTTCACCCAAACTCAATTGGACATTTGTCTACAACACTAGCTCACCATACTCTACAGTACTGTCACCGTATAGCGCAATACCTCCAGTTTTACTGCTGATAGCATGCACTGAGCTAATATCTCACACTCGTGCAGACTGCTGAATCTAGCCTTGCCATTATACCCACTGCTGCACGTACACACATTCCTTAGAGAAAGGGAGCGTGCATGAGTCATGCTTTAGGCCTTTGACCTCGGACTATTTATAACCACTCAGTGCAGCTGGGATTTTTCTCTAAACAGACTCCAGACATGGGAGATGGGCTCTTTGAGGCATGGCCCAAGCACTTAGTGCAATTACACCCATTTTTCCAAATGGCTGGTAGCAGTGGTAGCAGTGTACTGTGCAGGGGGTGAGTGTTGGATCTTGGGTACAGTGGTACCTCGCAAGACGAATGCCTCGCAAGACAAAAAACTTGCTAGATGAAAGGGTTTTTTGTTTTTTGAGCTGCTTCGCAAGACGATTTTTCCTATGGGCTTGCTTCGCAAGACGGAAACGTCTTGCAAGTTTGTTTCCTTTTTCTTAAGACCGTTAATACAGTTGCGACTTGACTACGAGGAGCAACTCATAGAACGCGGTGTGGTAGCCTTTTTTGAGGTTTTTAAAGACTTTGGTCATTTTTGAAGCTTTTCCAAAACTTTCCCGACACCGTGCTTCGCAAGACGAAAAACATCGCAAGGCGACAAAACTCGCGGAACGAATTAATTTCGTCTTGCGAGGCACCACTGTATATGGTAACTGCTGGATCACCAAGGATGGGTTCCCAGGTTTCAGAGCAAGTTCATGACAACAGATAAAGTGCATTTTTATTCAGACACTGTCCACTGTTAATTATTCTAGCTTACAACCACAGGATTTAGAACGGGTCAGCAAACCTTTTCAGCAGGGGGCTGGTCCACTGCCCCTCAGTCCGTGTGTGGGGCTGGACTATATTTTGAAAGAAAGAAAAAATGAGCGATTTTTGCCCGCCCGCAAAGAGGCCTGAAGATTGACCTGTCCCAGTTGTTGTCCCAATAGCTGCAGTTGGGCTTCTCTTGCCAGCCAGGTGCCGTGCCAGGGTAGGAGGCTGCGTTGGCCAGCGAAGACGGAAGCAGCAGCCCCAGCAGAGGAGCCGTGGAGGAGGTAGGGGAACCAGGGTGTCGCTGGAGCTTTTACCCACCACCTGGTGCTGCTTCCTGAGAGGCACTGCGGAGAAGACAGAGCTGTCCGCCAACCCGCAAGCGGCGGCTGCGGCCATCGCAACAACCTGCCTGAACACCATGGGAGAAATGAAGAGGGGAGGGAGGGAGGCGATGACCATGAAGAAAGTGTGTGAGGAAGTGGCACAGAAAAGGAAGGAAGGACTGAGGGAGAGGGAGGAAGAGCAGGAGGAAAACGCAGCAGCAGCAGCTGGCAGCCGGCGTCACACGCCTCCTTCACAGTACTGCCCTGCTGAGGTGGGCAGGCGGGCGAGCCGACTCCCGCTGTTGAGTGACAAGATTTCTCCGTCCCTGAGGAGAAAAGCACCACCGTGTGAGGGAGAGGGAAAGAACGCGTCTGCTGGTGATACACGCAGCGATTCCCGGACCATCCACGGGCCGGATCTAGAAGGCAATTGGGCCTGATCCAGCCCGCGGACCTTGGTTTGCCGACCCATGGTTTAGAATATCTTCTAGGGGTGTAACATCTACAGCATAAAACTTCTAATAAATAATGAAGCGTTTATATTATAAAAAAGTCTGCACACATGTACAGTGGTACCTTGGGTTAAGTACTTAATTCATTCCGGAGGTCCGTTCTTAAGCTGAAACTGTTCTTAAGCTGAAGCACCACTTTAGCTAATGGGGCCTCCCGCTGCCGCCGCGCCGCCAGAGCACGATTTCTGTTCTCATCCTGAAGCAAAGTTCTTAACCTGAGGTTAGCGGAGTCTCTAACCTGAAGCGTATGTAACCCGAGGTACCATTGTACATTTGTTTAATTTTGTTATCGGTTTTCTGGCCTGTGTGAAACAGCAATCTGTGTGTGCGGACAGGCTAAATCTTATCAAAGAGATCTCAGAATGCACTCCCAGTTGCTTTTAGATGAGACTATATATGTCAGGGGCTCAGGAGCAGAGGCACAGGGGAGAGAGGAAATGGAGAGCGAGGGGGAGGAATCTGAGGGCAGCGGAGGGCAGAATGACAGTGACCCGAGAGATTCCATGAGCCTCTCCAGTGAATCAGAAGATTCCCAGAAGGGGGCGCCGATGGCCAGGGCAAGGGGGGTCCCAGGGGGGACACACCAGAAGCAGGGGGCCAGCGGAGACTCCCAGAGCAGTAGCTGGAAATCAGGGCCAGCTTCCCCACCAGAGCGTAGTGGGGGGGAAGAGTCCCATAGGTCAGAGTCAGCGTCTCCTCCGGCAAGCAGGGAGGAGGAGTCAGGCCCAGCTAGCGTCCCCGAAGAGGGGAGCAGCGACAGGAGCAGTATAACGGTCAGAAGGAAGGTGGCAGGCTGGGCGCGCGCGCCAAGTTCAAATGTACAGGCGCGCGGGACAGCAGGAAGCCCGGATTGGGAACCAGGTCCTAAAGCTCGCCGGAGGGAGGGGGAAGACTCGGGGGACTCAGCGTCAGAAGAGTCTAGAAAGGGGAAAACCCCGGCGGACAGGCGGACCCAGAGGAGGAAAGAACAAAGGAAGAGGTGGAGCAAGGCTAGGGTCTTAAACTGGTGTCTGGAGGGAGGAGACTCAGACGGAGCTTCGCCGGTCTAGGGTTTAAGACGTAGAGCTGCGCGCCGTGGCTGTAAATGAGAAACTGAACTTGAATAAAGACTATTTTATATAACAGCGGACTGGCGTTGGTCCTCTGTGAGCTGGGACCTGAGGCAGCTCTGACAATATATTTGTAAGTACCCAGGGAACGCCACAATAAAGCAATGAAGATTTCTGTCAGGTCACATGAGTCACAATCTAATAGCCAGGAAACGAAACTTTTTAGTAAGAGTACACACCCTCTTTAGTCACATATTGGCCTAATCCTGGATTGAGTACTACTTCCCAGTATCGGCACCATGGATGGAAAACAATGAACAGATGTACACCATATTAGATAAAGCAGATATATTGTTATAGAGAGTGGTTCATCTAACCAGGAGGTTGTTGCCCCGGAGCTGGTTTAATTGATTTCCCTTCCATTGATTCCAAAACGAGACCGTCTGTTTTAAGGGGAACACACTACAGGACAACCACGAAAAACACCCCTACCTTTTGGCCTGCCATCATGAGCCCTCACTTTTTCTTCCTTGTCTGAAACTTATAAGCTCAATGCTGACCTTCAAATAATTATTTAGACTTTAGCCTGATATTAGGTAATAGTACTGAGCTATAAAACAGCAAATACATATAAAACAGCAAAATATACGGTACTCCCCCCCATTTAACCCAAGAAATAAGGTGTTTGCTAACACTGCCAAACGAAAATTATTTTGAGAATCTTGGTTTTACAACTTGACTATTTTGTTATTTTACTGTTTTGTTGTTTATTTTCATTTATTGTTATTTAGAAAGGTGGAATGTAAGGATTAGAAATGAATAAAACTGCAAAATACAAGGAAAATTAACAGGAAAAAGACAAAGATTTTGATGTTTCAAGAGGTATTTCAACACAATGTTTAATATGAAAGTTACATTCAATTACACAGTACAACTTTACACAGCAGCCATTCTCAGTTACTATATTAGACTCTTCTTTGGCAATACATTTTAAATACTACAAACGTCTCCTCAGTTTTTTTTTAGTACTTTAAGGATGTTTTCTAAGGTGTACCAACTACAAAACTCATAATTTTAAAGTAGTAATATCCATTAAAGCAACAATAAAATTTGCATTTTCTTTATATTTTATATCAGTAGTAGGAAAACAAATGTCAGTAGCAATATGAAAAATTATTTCCCAAATTAGCAAATACAAATATTTAAATCAGTTTAACTAATGCAGCTGTAAGTTATGAACAGTAACTCAGAAACATTATAGTGGACCAGAGAATCACAATCTAACTCCGTGTTGTTATTCCTATTCCCAAAATGGAATTATTTTTGTACAACAAGATGTGGGAAACTGGCCCTGAAGAAACAAAGGCAGGATGATGTTTGTTACATTGAATGTGAACCTGCAGTATGTGATATTTAGTAGACATCAAGCAACAACACTTCTAGTAGGCAGGTTGATGTAATTTTGTAGAAAATTAAGAAAATGTTTAAATGGCATGAATAGGATAGTTCTCAGATGGTTTCAAAGAAAGGGATGGTTTCAAAGATGGTTTCAAAGAAGAATGAAAGTAGAAGAAAGCTTAGTGAGAGATGTAATCTTGATTGGTACAGCAAGTTACTAATTAAATGCCACGTATCTACCTACTTCTGTGGGTTGAAAATGGTGTGAACTGTATTGTGAAATATCTGAGATTAGCTGCACTTCACAGTACTAGTAATAGGACAAGAAAGAATGGAATACACAGAGAATTCCTTGTCATACAACTAGCGTTGCAAATGAAGACTTTTCTGTTTCCCTGAGTGCTGGCAACATTTGCTTAAAGTTTTGAAATTGTTTTAATATTCCAATGAACGCGTAATATTGGAGGGGCAAGGTATGCTTTAAAATGGATACACCACCTTCATACCTTTGATAAAGCAACTTATGAAATTAATTTACATTCAGATGAATTAAATTTCACATTCATAATGAGGGTTTAGCTTAGAAGCATAATTTCATCATCTCTTTACCAAACATATTAACAAATGCTTATTTTAGTCCCTTTAACATAATTACAATAAAGCATGTAATGCATGTATCAGCATTTTATTTAGTATCAAAATGAATTCCGAAACCCCATTATTAATTGGCCGGTAGATAAGAGCACACAAATAGTCTACTATATAAAATGTTGAAAGAATGTTGTCAGAAACCTTTGTACTATACACCACGTGTTTTTGGTACTGATGGGCAGTTTTCTAAAAAGTGACAACACTGAAATAAAAAAGGAAAAAGGAAAACACCTCTTGGCTTTAATTATTCAAATCCAAGTGTTCCACAAAAATATTGCACACACACACACACACACAAAAACTTGCGGCACAATTCATCCATATACAAGTACTTTTAAGCCCCATTGATTTCAGTGGAGAGATTTAAATAGATTAAAACATTTCCTACTGAAGGAAATGGGAAATAAAAGTGCTCAAGTTTGGCTGGATTTTTTTAGGAAGTGAAGGTGCTAGATATATCAATATTGTGGGGGAAAGGGAATACATGCTAAAGAAATAGTATTATTTACATCAACAGTTATAAAAATAGGAAAGCATAATATTCAATACATTTAAAGAACAGGCTAGCAATTCTGTTTAGCTAGACTTCTTGTTTTAACACTTTTTCCAGTTGAAGCTAGCATGACACCCATCTAGCCAATACCCTTCACAAATTCTAGTCTGCTTGTGCATTACAAATGCTATGCCAGAAAAATGGCAGAACCAAAACCTTCTCCCTCGAATTACCGTAAATCACAACAAAAGCAGTTGTTTCCAGTTTTTTGCAACACTTTAAAAGAGGAAATATTTATCTGCGCAGATGTTTTAGTGCAGCACTGTAAAGTATTTGCTTAGAAAATTAAGTACCTCTAATGCTACATTTTATTATATATACATGCCTTTCAAGAATTGTGCAGTCCCTATGCACACAATTTTTAATGTTTTTTTCTTTTTTTATTTAAAAAAAGAGATTTTATTGATTTTAACAAAAATGTTTTTCTAGGCCTAAACATAATTCAGCAATAACTCAGCAAACTACAGAAGACAATAATGACTTTAAAACCAGTCAAATAAATTTCCAATAATTTCTTTTTTCCTTCTTAGTTGTATATATCCTATGCAAACATATCCCTTGTAACCTAAAATCTTATGAATCTTTACCAAAAAGCAATTTCCATTAAGATCAGCAAGGCCTACTCCATATGCTTCTAGGCTTAGGCTGTAAAGGCTACGGCAGAAGGATCACAGATATTCGTACAGCATGCTATTTTGTTTGCATCTGCTTACTACAGAGATGTTCAAAGGCAGGACTAAAATAACTTCAGAAGAGTGTTCCCGTCTGCCAACAAGCCTGTTATAAATATTCCATGTTTATATCTTGATCCTGTCTTTAAAATTTCCTATGAATTATAGTCTTGTTCAGATTGATTTGCTATCTATTGCCTTCATTACATGAGGAACTAAAGTATGCTTGTTTTACTTTGGAAGTAAAACAAACAAACAAAAATCATCTTAAGACATGTGCACATTTATAATGCTAATTTGCTTCCACAAAACATGAGGCAACATGCCACTTATCAACAAGACATAGAACAGGTGAAAGATTACATCAGTAGGAAAAAACAAACTGAAGTAAAATCTGTCAACATTAAAATGTTTCATTCTCATATTTACATTTTTTCAATACAGTTGAAACTGAGTGACAATTACAACCTTTGTATAATACAAGTACTTTAAAGCATATTAACTTTCCATATTTTCTATAAAGTCATGCTCCACACACTCTTCCAGTAGTTTCAGTGTCCTTGTTCCACTGCCAGTTGGATAGTCCAGTTTGAAATCCTTTGAGCTATGCGTATTCAGTGCCTTGCTGCTTTCAGTTTTAAAAGCACAGCTTAGTATTCTGAAGAATGGCATTAACTGTGTGATGCTCGAGATAGAACGAAGGTCCAAAAGAGGGAAGCTATAGTGCTTTGTTGCTCTCTCATTGGTAGTTTGATCCTGTAAGAACACAAAAAATTAAAGTTGCAAATACACATTTACAGGAATTTTGTTTCGTATATAAACTGAAACATGTATTGAATACTGGGATTTTAATTTTAATGCAGCAGTTTTTAACATTGTACAATTAGTTTATTTTACCAAAGCTTAGATAACAGGTTTTTCAATTCCAACAATTCCAACCACTTTCCTTTTTTAGATTACAGTCGTACCTTGGTTTTCGAACAGCTTAGTTGGGATTCGAGGACCCGATCCCCGCTTGGGGGAATGAAGACACGTGGACACAGTATATTAGGTTAATGGGCAAGAAAAGGCCACAACTTTATTGATTACAGCATGTGAGAAGGTACAGTGGTGCCTTGCGAAGCAACCCTATTAGCGGGTTAGCGGCTTAGCGCTATTAGCGGCTTAGCGGCTATTAGCGGCTTAGCGGCTAAAAGGCTATTAGCGGCTTAGATAAAGGGGGGGGGAGCGAAAAAAATCGCAAGACTCACAAGACGTTTCCGTCTTGCAAAGCAAGCCCATAGGGAAAATCGTCTTGCGAAGCAACTCAAAAAACGGAAAACCCTTTCGTCTAGCGGGTTTTTCATCTTGCGAGGCATTCATCTTACGGGGCACCACTGTATTGGCTTAGGCACTGGACCACAGCAAATTTGACTCCACCCACTCGGAGAAGGGTGAGTCTGATGAGGTGTTAACCACCAGTAGGGGGAGCCTGTTGATGCAAATACAACTTTAAGCTCTCCCCTGATGTCACCGAGGGTTGTGCCATGACCCCCCACCACACAGGGCATCGGACAGGATCCACGACCGCTGGATTCCTTTAACAGAATACCCATAAGTGAAGAGGTAGGCGATGGCCACACCTTGCCCTTCCACATACCAACAACACATTCCAATGCCTAACCGCCAAATACCAAGAAAGTTCTGAAGCGCAATGGCGGGGAGAGCTGGCACGGCCGCATTTGAGCGGCTAAACCCCCCCCCCCGTGGTGGCACCCAATTCTGCGCCCAACTGGTAGGCGTGGTGCGCCAGCGATGATAAGAGGGCAGGGGGCAAAATGCCCCCTGCGTGACGCGGGAATTGTTTCCCGCTCACAATCCCTCCCCTCCGGAAGGAGGAGAGGCTTTCTCAAACATTTTGGCTCCTGAACGCCGCAAACCTGGAAGTGACTGTTCCGGTTTGCGAACTATTTTTGGAAGCCGAACGTCTGGTGGGGCTTCTGCAGCTTCCAATTGGCTGAAGGAGCAAAAAAGCAGCTTCTGGCACGGACCACCATGGCGCTCAGTTGTGCCCATGCCAGCGGAGTCGCTTCGCATGGCTAATTGAGGATGATATGGGAGTAATTACCCTCACAAAACTCTCCCAGGGCCGGGGGAGGCTAGCTTCACCCGCAGATCGTCCAATAACTCCCACCCGTTCCGAAGGAATGCGGGGGGCAGAGGGCGCTGGGTGTTATGCACCGTGCATAATCGACAACTCTCCAAAGCCAAGGCCACAAGTGGAAGTACTCCTTTTAAGGTGATATTTGGACTTAATTAACAGGCATGCTCTGAATTAGGGGAGATAGAGACTGATTCAGTTGGCAGGTTGTCTTGAGGGCTAAGGTTTCGATCTGGAGAAGGACTTCTGTCGCAATTGGAATGGCATGTTGGGGGGGGGGTGAGCCTCCATTTTTTACTCTCTTGATATACTTGCTGTTTTATTTGGCAAATCTCCCCCGAAGTGATAAATGATTTGAAAATGCAAGCGGGATTTAAAGATCGTTTGATTATTTCTATGGGTTAACTAAAGGATGGAACTGTGTAGAATCTTGATTAGGATTTGGCAACGACCCTAATTGGAACAATAAAAAGAATTCTAGACTAGATTTATCAGGATTTTGGGAAGAATCTGCTCATTAACAGTTGGAGTGAGATCACAGTACAAAATCTTTGATATCTGCCCGGGGTTAATGGCGGGATGCCAGACTTCTTTGTCTTGGAGTGATGCACTGAAAATTACCCTTGTGTGCAGAAACGAAACCAACAGAGAGTTGCTGAGACTTTTGGATGACAACAGTGGAAGTAAGAAGCAGCTCAGAAAATATTCTACACAGAATAACACAGGATTAACCCTCTTGCTAAATTAACGGATGGACTATTTAAAAACGAAAGAAAGTTGTCGGATCAGTGACTGACAAAATAAAAGAAGGATTAACCCAAGAATTGTATTATTTGGACTAAGTTCTATTGCAGGACATTAGATCATTATGGCCCGAGCCTCAGAGCATGGGAAGCCACACAAAGTTATGTGATTTGGTATGGAATAATTGGTTATTTTATTTGGATTATATTATAATTTGGAATTGTATTAATGTGGCCTATTGGATTGTAAAAATAGAAAATTAATAAAATTATTATTTAAAAAAACCACAATTGGCTGAAGGAGCTTCCTGCAGCCAATCAGAAGCTGTGCTTTGGTTTCTGAACGTTTTGGAAGTCAAATGGACTTCCGGAACGGATTCCGTTCAGCTTCCAAGGTACGACTTTTTTTACTATGCTTGGGCATGGATTGTGCTAGTTGCACCATATGCTAGGCCACTATTCTGACTTGGAAGGCTTATTTATATTGTTGTCAAGGAAGAAGCATGATACAAACATACTATATAAAAATATAATCTGGACAGTCAGGATATTTAGGTTTCAAAATGTAGCTAGGTAATCCTTCTAAACAAACTATGAAATCATTAGAACTATGAAAACCAACTGAAATTTAGACTTTACCCCATATTTCCGCTTTATTAAGTCCACAATTCGGACAATATGCGGTTTGCATTCCTGATGATTTTCCATTAGATCTGAGGATGTCATGCTGTAAGCCTGTGTGTCCACCTCTGGAACAAAGGCCCACCTGTACCTGGAAACAAAAGCATTTTGATATCAGGAAGCATACACAGGAGGAAACTATTTTGAGAACATTGGTTAAGAAAGAAAAGAATAAACATTCTTGCCCAACTATTGTCAACAAGCAGCTTTATTTAAGGAGAAGGATGGTAGCTCAGCTCCCTCTTTTCCTGATTGTCATTTGGCAGAGCAGAACCTATATACTGACATTTTCTCCAGATACGATTGTCATTTTGAGACGCTTTTCAGAAATTCTATTGTACTACAAGGACAACACTAATGTTTCGATTGGTTTCAAACACTGAAATGAAGCACCAAGGTGCAAAATCTAGTTTGAGACTGCAGTAGTTACTTTGATGTAGCAGGCCTCATTTGTTTTCTGCAAGAGTGCTTAACCTGCAGGCTGGATGCAGCTGCCCAGCTATGGGAAATGGCCTGTCCGCCCCTACAGGCTTATCTGCTGATTTGATTGAGATAAAGTATTCTCCCTGATCTTAGATCTCTACAGACCAGCCAGAGTACTTTATCTCTTGATCTCAGGAAATAAGATCCCTCTGGCTGCTCTTTCAAGGGTAAAATGCAGTATTTACCCTCAACCCAGCAATGGATGCGATATGCTGCCTTTTTACTTTGCACAGATGCTTTTGTGTAAAAGGCAGTGTTTGTAACCACCTGAGTGCTCTGGGAGGAAGGGATGGCAATGCTGATAATGTGTGTTTGTGTGAGTGCCCATATGAGAAAGTGAGCATGAGCTGTGTGACTGCATGTCTGGTGAGGGTCCATGTGTTCTGTAGTATGCATGTGTGCGCACTCCCACACTTGCATTGGCCAGGTTTGCCACTGACACATAGTTCTCAGAGGGGTGGATGACCGTTAAAACAACCCACAGGTTGAAAAAGGTTAGCCCCCCCCCTATTCTATGGGAAAACATTGTCAATGAAGTTATGCCAGTTCACCACTGTTCTTTATGGCCCTTTCACTTAAGAAAACAATTTTATTCTGGGAAGCCACTCTCATGTAGAAAATTGTGAGGTTCTCTATACAGTCCTTGTATGTGACAAGTGTTAATGTCTATTCCACTGTGGTGAAAACCTATTCCTGGTTAAGGAATGAGTTAATGCTCCATAAGTTGGTAAAAAAAATGTGTTGTTTTCCCCCAGGATGCAGCTACAGACAACTTGTGACTGTCTTAGTCTTTGTGCTGTGCAGCATTAGCGTGTAGTTCTGGCCTATATCAGAAGCATTCTGCATGGAGAAATATTGTGGAGAAGAGACAGAAGACTGAAGTTGCAGGAGTTTGGTGGCCTTGGACTTGCTGAGAACTTTAAGCAAGGACTCTGAAAGCTGAAAACCTTCTCTGGGCTCAGAGAGAGAAGCCTTCTTGAAGTAACTGTGTATAGTGTGTTTTGTATTTATTAAGTAAAACAACCTCTGTTACACTTTGGCTGCTGTGGGAAATTGAATCACTTTGCTGAACTTCTGACAGCACAAAATCTCCCAACAGGTTATTGGGCACAATCATTCAACTCGTTTCGGTTCAGCACACATGACCAATGGACAGCACCATCTCTCTTCTTTCACGCCATCAGGGTGGGAGCAACTAATGTAGGTTTGGCAGTGAACTGTCAGGACATTAGTGGGGTGCCTGTTCTTATTGCAGCACCATAAACTAAACTATCACACCACGAAGGCAAAAAGGCACCCACCACATTTTCTACTTATGAATTAAAAAATAATAACAAAAAAACCGCAGGACTGCTTTGCATCTTGCAGATGAAGAGTGTACTCAGTTATCACATACAGCCACCAAAAGGGAGGTACCCAAAGAAACTAAACAAAATCAATAAGTGAAACACAGAAACCATCAATCCCCAGGAGTCAATAAACAAATCTATGCAGCAAAGAGAAGAAAGGCTTAATGAAAATGTGAAGTATCCAGGTGGCAATGCGACACTAGGAAGGCAGGATACAATCTGGCCTCCCTGCGTATGGATGGCTCACAAACAGAAAAAAGGCCAGGGGAAAAATGCAGCAAAGGGATGTACAAGGGCTACCCGATGACCTTCACATGCTCTTGTGTCTCAGCATGCTGCGCTATCTGACTGTCATAGGAATAAAAATAAGCATGCTTACATCTGAAACAATTGCATCTTGTCAGGTGGGAAAGAAAGTGCAGTGTCCAAGAATTTGCAGGCTGATAAATACAAGGAGAGCTCATTCTGCTGTATGTCACCAAGCAATGGGCCATTGCCCTCTGATGTTTTCTGTTTACTTATTTTACTGTTGTGCCTGAGAAATTAATAAATATGAAAATTAAGGATTGAAACACATACAGAGCTAGCTATATTTACTCTTGGATTTTTAAAGAAAAGGTAAATGCTGAATAAGAGGCAAACCAAAAATGACTTACAAATTTATATCCTTGCAGTTATATCCCACCTTTCTTCCATCATGTACCTCAGGGAGACCCTGGGGTTTTTCTAGGAGGTCTCCCATCCAGCCACGTACCAGAAACCTGTTTTAACTTCAGCAAGTTGGTGGCTTGATGTGCTTTCTTACCATATCCTTGGTGAAGCCCTGCCTAACAGGTACATACATATAGATCTGATGCCCACTTATGGGGAAAAGGCGGGAGGTGATTTTAAAGGGGAAAATGGCAAGCTGGGAAAAGGCCAAAGAGCTCCCTACTCAAAATCACAGTTGTTTTTCATAAAAGGAAAATGAGAGAGCTGGGACTTTGTGTGTAACCTGCAGCTTGCTTCTGTGAGGTAGCAGCTATTAGAAATGCTATTTATGAAACAAATGTGCTATATCTGAAAAGACTTTGGAAGGTAGTTATCGAGCCCCAGAGGTTCTGCTCCACGGGGACAGCTCCACTTTGGAGCAAGGACTTTATCCCATGTAAACAAATAGTTGATTTTCAAGTAAAATGCTAAGCCAGAACAATTTATCAGCAATAGCAGTATCCATTATAGCATTCAAATTTATGATGATGTGACATTTGATCTTTTATCAAATATTCCAACCCACTCAGCAAAAAAGGGGCACATCACTATTCTATCCCACATATCTTACTTTTCAGCTTTCAGAAATACAACTTCTGAATAAGGAGCTATTCCACTACAAAATCTTTTGTGTATCTGCAAGCTTTGGCTTCTCTTTTCCTCCCTTGAAATTACTGGCCTGGTTTGAGACAAATGTTCATTCCCTGAAGTGACTGCAATATACAAACTATGATCTGCATTTGTGAATGAGCCACCACAGTCTAGTAACACAGACAGAACTTTCAAAGTCATTTCAAGTACATTTCTTTTTCAATTTAGTTTGGCCACACCTGTCAGCTGTCATCAGGTGCTGAGTTATCAGATGCTGAGGGGAAAATATATATAAATACATGTGTGAACCAGCCCATTGTCTTCCCTACAACGATCCTCATCCTATTTTATTTGTGCAAAGCTGGGAACAAAAGAAATGACCTCATACCAGGGTCAGACTAACAATCCATCTAGCCCAGTATTGGTTATTGAGGCTGAAAGTGGCTCTGCAGATTGTGCTCTCCTCTCCCCCAATTATTTGCTATCTGATCCTTCTAACTGGAGATGCTAGGGACTGAACCAGACAACTTCTGCAAAGACAGCAAGCACTCTACCACTGAGCAATGGCTCTTTCCCAAAGCAAGCAGACTTATGAAACAGGTCACAAGGTCGCAAGCAACTACAACTGTCACATTGAATGGTCTCGCCAAGCATCATCTATTTATTATGTACAGCAAAAAATTCTTACTTTGCTGGTTCCTCCTCTTCAGCTAAATCTTCCTCTAGCTGTATAAATGCTTGAATCTGGGAGGCAGAATTAAAAGAAATCAACAAGGTATTAATATATGCAATTCAATAATAAATCAGCTTTACATTATATTATGCATATAGGAACAATCTCAAGGCTCAACTGTCAACAGTTTACTGAAATTTCCTATTAGTTACACCAGCGGTGGGAAAACCTTTTGGCCTGGTGCGCTGGATTTTTATCTGCCCCCAGATAAAAGTGCTATAGGTCTGTTCATGTGGGTTATTCCTTTTAACCTTTTCAATAGTGAGACGATTAACTTCTTTAATCTGCTTGCTAGTGCTTTATTGCAAAACGCCTTCCTCAGCCATTCTATTTAGGGTTGTTTGGCTAAAGTAAGAAGAAAGAGAAGTGCAAAATATAATGGAAGTGGCATATATATAATGGGAACAACCCTCTGAGGACTGGCTTTTGGAGCTATAAATTTGGTGCTACGTTTGGACTTGGATTAGGGGTTTATCTTTAGGGTTCAATCCTGGTGAGAATTTCGGCTTTCAGATTGAAAATCAGCTGATATTGTAAAACCTTACACTATAAATTTTCTTTTCTGCAATGTTACTCTTATTCTTCAACAAACAACTCTTTACTTTACTCTTGATCTGAACTGGTGATTAACTGGGCTACTCCATTTCCCCTCAAGGCCTAGTGTCTATAAGTCTGGCGGTCTAGAGAGCTACCTACACAGGAATCTATTATGATTCTGCTAAAATAAGGCACCTTCCCAGAAAGCAAGGCCTCAAATGATGTTTCTTTACTGCTTAGCATTGAGTTCTGTGAAGTAGATTGACCTGCTCTAGCATGAAATGATCTGTGGGAAGGTCCATTTTGCTTAGTGCTGGGTTTTGGTGTGCAAAGCCTCTTTAGGCCAAGCCCCATCCTTATTTGTCCCAGATATGATGCCAGGTATGTGGGTGGCACTGTGGGTTAAACCACAGAGCCTAGGGCTTGCCAATCAGAAGGTTGGCGGTTCGAATCCCCGCGATGGGGCTCCCATTGCTCGGTCCCTGCTCCTGCCAACCTAGCAGTTCGAAAGCACGCCAGTGCAAGTAGATAAATAGGTACTGCTCCAGCGGGAAGATAAACGACGTTTCCATGCGTTGCCCTGGTTCGCTAGAAGCGGCTTAGTCATGCTGGCCACATGACCCAGAAGCTGTACACCGGCTTCCTCGGCCAATAAAGCGAGATGAGCGCCACAACCCCAGAGTCGTCCACGACTGGACCTGATGGTCAGGGGTCCCTTTTTATGATGTCAGCTGTAGGGTGGGTGGCCATGGCTTCCTACAAATGGGCTTGCAAGCCGAATGCCAAGACCTGGGGGGGGGGCCCAAGTATGGACTACAGAATGGAGATTTCCCTGAGATTTTGAAGGCTATTGTCTCATCTTGTTTCTAAGGACCATTTACCAGCTCTGTCACCATGATCGGCCATAATGAAGTTAGGTGCTGAGGGGAAATTCTTAGCAAAAGAACCCTGAAGAACAGAAACATCTGGGCAGCTACTACAGAAGTCTGTCCAACACGCAGGTTGTCAGTCAGTCGCTCTAGAATAAAATTTACAAAAAGATTTAAGACACTTTTGTATTGAACTGTCATGAATCAGGAGCACTAAAACGTATCTGGCTGGCTTAGTTATATCATCCTGGGACTGATCAAGCTTCTTACCCATTGGAAAATTATTACACTTATGAACTAGGATAACAATTACAGTTGCAAAATAATGTCAAACTGCATAATATGATCATAATGCTCAGTCCCAGTTAGTAACCTGGGAGCCATATTCGGCACTAATACAAAAGAGTCTTCAGAAGGCAGCCCACAAGTAATAATAATAATAATAAGTGTGATTTGACTCCAACATAGAGGTTACCAGGGATAACTGATGCCAGTATGTTGCAAGCATATAAGGAATACCAGTTGCCCACTCAAAATGTGTCCAAGAATCGACAGACGCAGCAGTGGCAAAAAAGTTTATTGCTGAGCAATAAAGACCCATTGGAATATTTTCCAGAGCCTGGGTCCCGGAGCCCCTTGGGCATTGGGTTTATATATGTGATTACAAACAGCGTTAGATATTACATAACAAAAAAAATTCCTTCCAGTAGCACCTTAAAGACCAACTAAGTTAGTTCTTGGTATGAGCTTTCGTGTGCATGCACACTTCTTAAGGTGCTACTGGAAGGAATTTTTTTTGTTTTGACTATGGCAGACCAACACGGCTACCCATCTGCAACAGATATTACATATTCATATATTGCAGCAAAATCAAGCCAATGAGCGGGGCAAGAGCCCTTCCTATGCCCATGTAAAGAATACTTCTGCTTTTCCATATTGTGCATCATGATGCCCTTTACCCTAATTTTCAGCTATAAAGAGGAAAAGAAACCTATTTGACAGTTGAAGCCTGAGTAACCCCCCCCCCATCTGTTATTGGGCTAGAACATTGCATTCTGTGGCAGACTTCTCTTTCCTGTCCCCCATCTCACCCTCCATCACGTGAGCATGAGAAACAGTCTGGGGAAGGTTCCCTATAGAAAAATGCCAACACATCAGATTTATTGTTGCCTTCAAGCACAATAGCAGGGCAGAGAGAAATAGGGCAAAGGTAGGCTTTGGATTCCTGAGATTTAGGCACTTCTAGCCCTACTGAAGCCTCAGTGGTTTAAGAATCATTAGGATTCATGGATATATAGAAATCATCATTAGGATACATGGTTATATAGAAATCATAAAGGTAAAATTCTCCCAGGTGGTCTTGCCACAAGGCTAGGGTCACAGCTAGTATACCAGTCTAAGCAGGTTGAAGGAACCTTGTGCTCCAGAAGCAACTTGTGCCTTTATCTTTAATGATGGACCAAGGATCATCCTTAAGCGGCAGGCTTGTCCCTCCAGGGTGTGCAAGGCTGTCTAACATAGGACAAACACCTCTCCCTTGAGCAGAAGAATCACTGATCCACATTACCTCTGTTTTGTCTGGACTGAGCTTGGGTTTATTGGTCCTTATCCAGTGTATTAGTGAAATTATAAGCACTGATTTAGTACTTCCACTGCTTTACTCAGAGTTGATGAAAATGGGACTAAGAGATGGGTGCCACCAGTTTATTGATGACAGCTCATCCCAAACCTCCAGACCTCACTCAGTGGTTTCATGTAGATATGAAATAGAATGGGGGACGAGGGAGAAACATGCTTGACCCCTTACTAAGGGGTGGAAGACTATTCCCCCAGAACCACCTCCAGAGATTGCCTATCTAGATAGGGATTGAACTGCTGCAACACAGTGTCTCCAATTTCCCCTCCAGTCAGACTATTCTGAAGGGTATAGAGCTCTGTCTCTAAAATCAGAAGATGAATTTGCATCCCTCAGATTTAGAGAAAGTCAAAACTCAACAGACCCTCATTCTGTGAGCAATGCACAACTTACTGCCAACTTGGAACCTTCACTTGGCTCCGTTCATCTGTAATATCAAATCATAATTTGGCTTTTGCATAAGCAAGCATCAGGCTCATTTCCCCTCCCCGTCCCCCTTCTTGCATGCTCCAATGCCCTCCCCTGCATGGCAGATCATAGTTTGTTGTTGCATTTTAACTGGCAAACTATGCTTTGTGATTGCCCTCCAAATCAGAATTTCAAACCTGTTTTATCCTGATTTGCAGTTCTGCTTTCCATTTCATATGATTTGGTGTAAAAGAGGAAGTGCAGGAGGATATGATTCTGTGGATTGTTTATTTAACACAATGGTTTGTTGTTGTTAAATGAACTGAGCCTATGTGTATGCATGCTTCTTTCCATTCACATCTTTTACTGAACATCTGTGAACAATGCAAACTTTAACACTCACCTTGTATTAAAGGAAGGTAAAGGTGATATTGATCAATTTCTCCACTGAAAACTGCAAAGGCCTGACGCTTTAACAACATTGCCTTTTGCTCAAAACTTGGAAAAAGTTTTAAAGAACTGCTCTGCATAGCTGTAATCAAGAACAGAATTGCTATTAACATCAAATTGTTTTTATATATAAAAACAGCTGCTACCTTGATAAAAAGTTTAATTGGCTGTTTTCTTCTTGATTTGAACTGTCTATTAAAAGTAATGGGATAATAATTATGAAAAAATACTTACTCATCAAATCTTTAAACATAGTTTTCTCATGTGTCAGAAGATGATCGATAATGGCTCGCCAACTGAAGAAATTTAACAATTAAGTAAAGTTTAGTGTAATTTAAGTTTAAATCCTCTAGCACCTTGTGTGAAGCAAACACAAAGGAAGATGACATTTCTTTCAAAGTCAACCATGTGCTGGGCAGTAAAATTGTGCAAATCTTGTGCTTAGTTTATGATGAATGCAGATATTGACAACTCCAAGCTGCACAGTTTATCGCAATTTCCTACACATGACAGTCTAACTTCTCTTTAGAAAATTTCATATTGCTATTGAAACAGTCCTGAGGGACAACTTTAGTTTTTTACCATGCCTTGCACATCTTTAAAATAATGTATTAGAATAGATGCAGAAGTATTGTAACCAAAGTTTTAATTAAATATACTCTCTCAACACAGTGACGATAACCTGCTCTTTTTCTAAAGACCAATATTTTTCTAAATGAAATCACTGGAAAATTAGCAACTTTAGAGAGATTCCAAATTAAAAGTACAACTTCATTGTAATCTACTGGAGTTTATCCATTTGTACATTCAGAAGCCAACAACAAGACTGCCCGAGTCATACACCTTACTGAATGCATGAAGTATCCATCTGGAAGAAAGCTGGATCCATATATAGTTCTAAGACATCTTTCTTCCATGCGCGCTTGGTATAAGCATAGCCACTTAAAGAACTGAGCAACTGTGTACTAGCACGAAAGCTAGGAAGATTGTAGGCACTGTAAACAAACATACACAACAGACAAATCACTTACTTTCCAAATACGTATGTCACTCACACGCTCCCAAAACTGAGAGACTTCACAGCAACATTCTACTTTAACCTTGTTGATATTCAATAAAATATTTATTGATTGAACAAAAAAATTATGTTAGTTGCAAGGAAAATTCACGTGTTATCTTTTCTAAGCTCAGATCTGGAGTCAGTACCACCAGTAAGCAGAGGAACCCTATCATGGCTGATAAATTATTATGTTCCTCTTTTGACATTTCTAACCTCTGGCAATAAGATTGCTGCTTTGCTAATTTGTATTCAAGGAGCAACCTTAAGCCAAGTCATATCTTGTAAGCCAGGACTGTCAACTGGAGAGGAGTACCTGTTTCCATAGTTGAACCTGAATTCTCATTGTATCCCCCCAAATTTCCACATACTTCCATGCCAGTCAAGCATCCATTTCCCCACCATCAGAAAAAAGCATCACAATTACTATTCTCTTGACTTTCAGGAAGCATGTGTGCTATCTTGGAAGTAGGCGGCAGTCACTTAATGCTTGGCAGATCTATGAAGTATATTACGGAACAACAGTCTTGGAAGAGCTTTGACCTTGAAGCAAGGAATCTGCCCAAGTTAGGTCCCCAAGTATGGTGCGTATACTGCATGAGTTACATATAGGTGATGTCAGGAAAAATTTATTTACCTGTGATTGCGTAAGTAAGGAAACACATAATACAGCAAACGCGAGATCAAAGGCACTGCTTTCTCTTTTTCATCACTCCGGTAAACCATATCCAGCAGAGAAGCAAGAACCTATGGAGAAAGTAAGATCCATTTAAAAAAGAACAGCTCTTCTGATTTCATAGTAATCCTGAAAATTGTGAAGTGTCCCATTTCCAAAACAAAATAAAAAAATTCCTTCCAGTAATCCTGAAAATTGTGAAGTGTCACATTTCCAAAACAAAATAAAAAAATTCCTTCCAGTAGCACCTTAGAGACCAACTAAGTTTGTTATTGGTATGAGCTTCCGTGTGCATGCACACTGCTTCAGATACATTTCCAAAACATTAGCAATGCAACTGATGCATCCCCCTTTCCCTCCTCCCTGGCTGGCATAACGCTGTATGCTCAAGCAACTCTGCCTGTTAATGGAGGGTCAGTGAACATGCAGAGCTTTCACTTATGGGACATATATATAGGAAGGATAGTGGCTATAGAGCGGTTTCCCTCTCAGAGTAAAAAGAAATCAGGACTCACCTCTGCAAGGATAGAGAGGGCCTGAACACTGTACACCGATGGGGCAGAGGCAGAGACCATTGAAGAAGGTACTGCTGATGTATCTGTAGAAGAAGGAACATTTTTTTTTCATGCCCTCCCTTATACTTTTCCCCATTAGTAGTGGGTGGCTTTTTTGGGGCGGGGGGAGACCGATGGTTAGAAAGTTGTTCTGAAGACATTGGGCAAGACTTATCTAGTCTGAATGTCTAGCCACATGCCTTTAAAACCAGCAAATGAGCCTGTTCTTCACCAAACAGAAGGCAACAAGCATTCAGAACCCAGTGTGGGGCATTAAAAGCAAATAAAGGATTGAGTACTCCTGGGTCCTCAATGGCTTTCCTGCTCTAAAGTTCAACCTCATGGCTTTGCTTTCCCCCCCTTAAACACATTAGCATTTAATGTGTAGTTAGAACTACAAAGACCCCAAGCTGCTTTTCCTTATGGAAAAAACAGCTACTGGGGGCTCTTTATATATGCACACAAAATGCAATGTGTTGCCAGTCCCTGAATTTAGCAGTTTAAAATGCTCTTTAAAGGGAAGCTGCCGGTGCCATCCCCATTTTTTTTTGGCACCAAGTGAAAACCTTCTCAATTATATTGGCTTTTTAGCGATCCATTTTATGTTTTTATTTTTGCAAGTCACATATTTTGGCTGAAGACTAGCTGATAAATCAAGTAAATTATTTAAGAGAGAAGTTCTATAATGGAAGGAAGAAAGTTGCTGGATATTTGTGTCATCAAATGCTTGCACAATTCTGAGGAGACTTCGCCTCTTAAAGTGTTTCAACCTGACTTGGGAATATCAGTCCATTTATCTTCTACTGGTTCTATAACTAATTTATCTTCAAAAGTCACACACACACACACACCTCTCCAGCTTTGCTAGCCTAATGACTTTTACTGTTTCCCTTTTCCTATTATATACCTTCTAAAGAGTCTGTGTGCTGTGGTCAGTACTCAAGGGGCAGACAGATATGAAAAGGCCTATTTGAAGCAACTCTGCCCCACCTTAAGCCAAAAATAGGGTTCCAGAGGGGCTTACAAAGATTAGTAATAAGACAGCCCCTGCCTTCAAGCTCACAGTCCCAAAGGCTGTGGAAAATGAATGGGGAGAGAGGAGGGGGAAAGGGAATCTCAGGTATTACTTCTCAAAGTCACATATCTTACAGTAACCATGTGGGACGGAAATAGTTCAAGTAACTTGACTGAATGAATGTCTCTAGGGAACAACTGGGGAAGAGCTAAAGGCAACTGGTCTCAGCAGATGTGATGGAAAAGCTCTGCTGTTTCTCCTCTCCAGTTCTATATTATCAGTTATCTAGCTAAATGACAGTTACAGATAGGTAGCAGTGTTGGTCTGCCATAGTCAAAACAAAAAAAAAATCCTTCCAGTAGCACCTTAAAGACCAACTAAGTTAGTTCTTGGTATGAGCTTTCGTGTGCATGCACACTTCTTCAGATACTGTATCTGAAGAAGTGTGCATGCACATGAAAGCTCATACCAAGAACTAACTTAGTTGGTCTTTAAGGTGCTACTGGAAGGAATTTTTTTTGTTTTGACTAGCTAAATGAATTTGTGCTCCAAAATGGAAGCTGGTGGAAGAGCATTGTGTGAAACCTAAACATTCCTTATATGGCCAGTGTTTTAGAATTGCCCAATCCTACTTCTTCCCTCCACCTTAAGCAGACTTGTGGGACTAAAATGCTTGTATAAAACAACAGCTAGCCCATAGAACTGTCTCCATTTTTCTTACCGCAGAAATCATCTTCAGCCATGGGCTCATCTAAAGCAACCTGAGGCTGAGCTTTCACCTCCAGATTCCTGCTCAGCCAGCTAGTTTGTTCTAGCGAAGAACCAGCAACATTCCCGACGGCTTCCAATATTTTCTGGGTTACCTCCTGAAAGGGAAAGCAGAGTAAGAGACGAGTGATTCGTGCATATAGACATCACTCAGGGCATTTTGTCTTATGGAAGTAATATTTGTTTTATTGTGAGAAGGGAGACAAGTGGCAAACCAAAATATCACTTTACTCCATTTGAATTCTGTGAAGGCAGTGCATGCTACAGAGTCATTCCCCCTCCCCACCAAATACTGAACCTCTTGCTGGAGGTTCAGTGTGGCTAATGTGTGATGTGCAGTTTGCAAGGCATTTGTGATATGCCTATTGGCCCATTAGAATAATGAAATTTTCATTTTTCTATTAAAAAGCCATCCTAAAAGTTCTGTTGGACATATTGTAGATCTATAACTACATGTTGGCTATGTTCTTTTTGGACTTGTTTTCTGGGTTCAAGGGTAAAGTACAGAAGGAAGAGCTCCACTTATGGTATGAACCAATGTTTGGTAAGAACTGTTTGCTGTTTGATTACAAGAAGCCATGATGATCATTATGCCCAGGCTAAAGGAGCAGGAAAGATGCTGGCTAAGCATCCCTGAATACAAGTATCATCCTTACCATACAGAGCTTGAGATAAACACAGCAATGGGCCCTATATCTTCCTTTGAAGATGGGTGTTTGAAAGTTCTCTAATAGTAGCACCAAAGGGACCCCTAGATGAGCAAATTCTGGTTACTCCCTATGCTAATTAAAAATAGGTTACTCCCTATGCTAATTAAAAAAGATAATTTATCTCTGTGATCTTTTTGAGTTTGTGCTGGAACAAAACAGACTTTCTTTAATCAGGAATGAAATACCTTATTACTTCCATCCATTTTTATCTTTGGGTACCTTTTAATACCATGCTTCCTGTTCAGAGTTTAAGAATTACCTATGCCTCTGTTTAATTAAACTGGGAAAGAGTATTCAAGGGAAAACACCCCAGGTATAAACTGGGGGGGGGGGGGGAGAGGGGTTAATGATATGAACTAGGCACTTGAAGGTTGTGGTGTTGTCATGTCCCTGGTGATGCTTGTTACATCGTAAGATTCTTTTTATCAACATTTTATTCCCATTTTAGAGTCAGAAGCTTTTGTTTTGTCCAATTAATGTAAGGCAGTAGGGCAAGATCTTAATTAGAAACCAGTTGGTTTTAATGTTCTTCATCCAGATTTTGGCAATTTATGACTTAGTTGTGATAAGGAAAGCTGAAATATTTAAGGATGAAAGTGAAGGAAAAGAAACAAAGAAGGTGAGTATCTTGCTACAAGTCATAAATTAACGAAGGACTAATTATTAATGGAATATTAATAATTAATGGAATTATTAATGGAATATTAATGAATTAATAATTAATGGAATTATTAATGGTGTTTCCGTGTGCTGCGCTGGTGCTGGCTTGCCAGAGCAGCTTCGTCACGCTGGCCACGTGACCCGGAAGTGTCTCCGGACAGCGCTGGCCCCCGGCCTCTTAAGTGAGATGGGCGCACAACCCTAGAGTCAGACACTACTGGCCCATACGGGCAGGGGTACCTTTACCTTTAATTATTAATGAGAAGTGAAATTATTCAGGGGTACCAGAGAGAACCAGAATGTGGTTTGAGATCTGAAATGAAAGGGGGGTTTCTATTAGGGAAACACGAAGAAGAGAGAGACTTTGGGAAGGGGGGCACTCTCTCAATGTTTTCTTACATCTTCTAGCTTACACTGGTTTCCCTCCCTCTCCCAACAGCCCCTTCCATGAGGGTGTGCTGACTTGGTGTTATGGGGAGGGGGAGAACAGGTCTGTGATTTCTGCATTTGTTGGACAAGCTTGTCTGTTTGCTAAGAGGCCTTAGAGAGGCTAGATTTTTCTTATGGTATTATGTTTTTGATTCTCCCTATTTTTGCTCAGGAATCTTCCAATGGAAAACCAAAGCCCTCACTTACAGCAAGTCTGGTAGGTATGGAGTTTTGATTTATCATCCCCCAAAGCCCCCCGTTCTGCCTCACGGGAGCAGAACCTTTTTGAAACCATGGGCCAGATGGTTCTGCCTCAATGGTAAAATTTGGCAGGTGGATGGGGCTGCCCATCTGCCAGTCAGCTGACATCACGTGACTTTGTGCTTTGAAGTCCCTAATTTGTACCTCACAGGTAGCAAGATCCTGCTAAAACAAAGGTTTTCCCCTTTTGTCTTAGTACCTGCTTCAACAGAAGACCCTGCTGATGCAGTCAATTTATATGGATTGAATTTAGAACCCGTTTTTCACAACAAGCTAGTGGTTTGGGACTATTAAGCATATATCTTCCATTAAGTAGTCAAGTTTGGCGCATGACGTGGGGGAGCAGGGAGAAATCAAGATCTACATGCATGAACTGAAAACATGCTATGGAGTACCTGCAGGTCTTTCTGATCCTTCTTGTTTTCCTGGTTTGGAGTTCTAGTCACAAAATCATTCAGAGTGCTGCAGAAGAATAAGCCCAAGTTAGTGTACCATTACACTACTAGTGTACACTATGAGTGTGCTACAATTGTAGTGTGCAAAAACAACTGTTGCTGCCGTACCTGAGAAGCAAGAAATAACCAGGTGGTGCCAAATTCAGCTGCACAGATTCCTTCAACACTCCTAACAATGACTGGAAGTTTTCTTGCAAGGCTATGACAGGAAGTCTGAGGGAAAACAAAAAAAAACACACACACAAAGCCATCAGTTCCAGTGCTGAAAAATACTGAAACCATGCACACAGCAAGTATCAGATAGGGGCTTACAGGAAAGGCTATTTAGTTCAGTTTTATGTTGAAGATTAACCATTCCTATATATTGTTGCTGTCAGGCAATTTATGCAATTCGTTGAGGTAGCAGTGAATACACAAGTGCTCTAACTTACTTCAGAGCCTTCATGGTGAAGTGAGGAATAAAAGAATCCCTAAATGAATACATTTCTGGGACATTTACAATGACAAAGGAACACTGCCTTCAGCTATACACGATGTTGGGTACCCTATTAAAAACCCAGTTTCAGAATGGATAAAATCTGATACATCAATAATAAAAGTATGATTTAGGAACGAATTTTTTAAAAAATTGTTTCATTGGCCCTAAGAGCACTATTGACCCTAAGGGCACTGAATCACACCAAAAGGACCATGTGTTTTGCACACAGAATATGTAAATGAGATGGTTGCAAACACGTAATGATTGCTAGCTGATTGAAAACTGTATCTGCGTGATACATGTTTGTTGCACTCATGCAATATGTCAACATGTACAAAGAAAAATAAAGCAATGCCAAACTAAAGTCAGGAAAGCGTCATCCTCCTAGCCAGCATTTATTGTGCATCAATACTGTACCTATCATATGAATTGCATAAGTCCCCTATCCAGACATCTTACAATCCTCCACACAATCATGTAGGTGTCCAAGATTGGACTGAAATCGTTGTTAATTATGACCTTTTTGGACTTATTTTCTGAGCTCTGTGCAGAGGGAGCAGACCCAATAATGGTGTGAAGCAAAGTTTGGTTTCAGGAAGCAATAGTGATCCACAAGGCCTGGGAGCAAAAAGATGCGGGCCAAGCATTCTTTTTTGTGTTTTTATTAAAAGTTTTTTTATGAGTAACGAATGTACATTCAGTTTTCAAAACGTTGAGTCCTTCGTCAGTTACATTCAGTTTGGTACATTATTGTTAGGTGAAGTTTTTGTGTCAGTATCACATGGGCGGTATGATTCTACTTTGTGGATGTCTTTGAACAACTTTGAGATAGAGACTATTCTGAAGGAGGAGCACCAGGTTTCAGGACCCCTTTATGATGTCGTTAAACAGGCTATTCATGTGGGGTGTCAGGGTTTCTTTGAATTTCTTGTTGAATTCTGCTGTAAAGCCATCTGGGCAAGTGGCTTTGTGTTGTTTTAGGTCTTTGAAGACAGTCTCTATTTCCTCTGGGGTAATAAAGCTGCCCATGTATTCTTGATCCTCTGCTGTTAATAAGGTTGCCACGGGCAATCCTGCCAGGAAATTTTTAATTCCCTGTTTGGGCAGGTTTCTGTAAGATGTATATATTTGAGTACAATTCAAAAAATTCTGAGATTACTTCTTTAGAGGGAATGTTACATTGCCATCCTTCTGGTGAGGCAATGTATTTTTGTTTTGAGTGATTTTTTCCTGCATCTGTTTGCTTGTAGCCTGGGGTTTATCCCTTCAAATTTGTAAAAACATTGTTTTGGGAGCAGGATGCTGATCATTGTCGTATTAATTTCTAGTGAGTCAATCTCCCTTCTTTTATGTTCTATTAGTTTAAGGAGTTTAAGGAGTTTTTATGGTTCCTTAAATTCTTGAGCACAGGGGGGTCATTCTTTTACAGTTTTATTGTTGGAAGGTTGATACTGCTTTGCTGTCAAAACTGGGAACTTTGTACCTCAGGAGAAATTAATCTTTTATTTTACTTTATTAAGAGAGAGGGCTGGATGGTCTAAGTTTTAAAATGTTCCAAATGTTTTAATAAATCCCACCATATGGGACACTACAGAATTACTATTTTTCTTTTAAAGAGCGTATTTTCCCTGTTTAGAGGTAGACACTGTTAGTTTGGGCAATTAGGATGACAAAGGGAGGGGAAAGATTTACAACCTCTCTCTCAGCCAGGTACCAAATGGTGTCAAGATTCCTCTTCTGGGTCTCAACAATATTTATGACCCAGTTATGATAATGAAGTTGAAGGAGGTCAGGTTACAATGAAGATGAAAAGAATAGACAGTCCAGAATCTGGAGACTGTTGTCATAAATTAAGTATTCATTTAAAGGAGAAGTACATTCTTCAGAGGTGAAACAAGACAGAAAGAACCAATGACCTCAGTGTTGGAAATAATCTGAAATGAAAGTAGTCTTTACAATGAAAACAAAGATGTGGTACTCCTTATCTTTCTATGCTGATTTTGTGTCCTTTTCACAATCCTTCAACCTACATGGTGTTTTTCCTCCTCTCACCAAAGAGCCTCTTTCCTAAATGCTACAGCTTGCAGGTTTGGAGCTCCCTTCTCATTCTATTTTGCATTTTTGGATGACTTTTGACCAGCAGCCTTCAACTGAAAACCACAGCAAATCTTGTAGAGGTGCACACTTTGACTAGCTTGTTAATTAGATAGTTAATCATTCTTACTGCTCACCATATCTTACTGCAACAATAGGGCACTTGGGAGCTATTTGTATTAACTCTTTTGCAGTTCTTGCTATTTGAACAAAGTAGTTCTATAGTTCCTCAGCATCAAGACCAAAAAAATCACTGTAAGCATGCTGTGCAATTAAAAAAAAAAGGAAAGAATAGAAAGCAAATGCATTAATGTTTGTAGTTAAAGGTAAAGGGACCCCTGACCATTAGGTCCAGTTGCGGATGACTCTGGGGTTGCGGCGCTCATCTCGCTTTATTGGCCGAGGGAGCCGGTGTTCAGCTTCCGGGTCATGTGGCCAGCATGACTAAGCATGACTAAGCCGCTTCTGGCGAACCAGAGCAGCGCACGGAAACACCGTTTACCTTCCCGCCTGAGCGGTACCTATTTATCTACTTGCACTTTGAGGTGCTTTCAAACTGCTAGGTTGGCAGGAGATGGGACCAAGCAACAGGAGCTCACCCTGTCATGGAGATTTGAACCGCCGACCTTCTGATCGGCAAGCCCAAGTCTCAGTGGTTTAGACCACAGCGCCACCTGCGTTCCACCTAATGTTTGTAGTTACTGGATTCAAAAAGAAGTAGAAATGTAGAAACAGCCTAGAAGCTCATTTACCTTTGTATGAAAGTATAGCAGAACTGGAGCACTGGGATATCCACTAGAGAAGATTTCTGGAAATAAAGAAAAAACCCTATTACCCAATTCCAAAGAAAACACAATAATGCAAACTAAAACATATTACAGGCAAAATAATCTACAAATTATTTCAGTGATGACTTGCTTCTAAGTAGTGGTTTTGTAGAAATAAAACTGTAATTTAAAATTTCCTACAAGTTGTTTACAAAAACCAAGGACACCTGCAGTTCCTTGAAAGACACTTGGGTTTGAATAGAGATCCCAAATTAGCCATGCTATCCCAGATATATACCCTCTTGTTTACTGTCTTGGATAACCCTCAAGTTACTATGTGACTGACCAAATCTGAACGTTAATCAATTCTGTATGCTGCTCACAATCCTTTAAATAGTGATGAGGCAAAAACCAAGAGCTCCTGGTCTATTCCCACCTTTCAGCTCATTTTATCCTCTCACTAACTTCTTCATTAAAGAACTAATCAACTTAAGGAATTTATTAGGTTAAGATATCTCTCAGAACTACAGCCTTTTCTTTCCATGGAGTGTGGGGACAACCATGAATAATCCATTTTTTAACCTTGATATAGTAGGCTGATGAGCAATTGAAACTTCCTAACTTGTGAGTAACAGAGATGATAGACAGAGTAAAAACAACACCTACCTCTTCACCTTTGATTTGGGATGGTTTCTTTACAACTTCTTTTACAAGCTGCAATATAGTGTCTGTCTTCAGAGTATTTAGGGCACAAACTAGATCAACAAGTATAAGCTGAGATGCACTAGCTGCGGGAGGAATCTGAAACAAAAACATACATAAAGGACCACCCCTTATATATTGATTTGTAACATGCCTTTTCAGAAATATCTGGTTCTATTCTACAAGCATGCACAGGAGCTGAAACTGTGGTGTTCAGACACAGGAAAAACAAGAAACCAGGCATACTGCGTGCGGGGGGGGGGGGGGGCGGGGGCGGCAAATGCTTTGAAGTAGTCTTTGCCAACCTGGTACCCTCTAGATGTTTTGAAGTTTTCCCTTATCATTGGGCAGGGGAATGAACTATTTATCACACCACATTTGTGATTTCTTCTTCTCCTTTACCTTTGTTTTGTTTTGATGCCTGTGAGATTTTTTGCTGCTCCACACTGCTGCTACTGCAGCTATAAGTTGCACCCCAAGCTGCCCAGTGAGGGGATTCAAGAAGTCAAGGATTTTATTCTTCAACGTCTATAAAAAAGAAAACAAACACTTATTCTAGAATGGGTTTGGATGGAATTTGTTTTCCTACAGACAGGTGCCCTGATAAAATGTCATAAGCAGCTCACTATTTTTAAATCACACTTTTTGTTCTCATACTGGGTGGGGGGGGAGAGTCTAAATTCCCATTGTGCATGCATTTCTCATTATAAGCAAGAATTTATCATGCAACAGTTTTTCCATGTGGCACCTGGAAGTTGCTTCTGAAAATGAACATTACAGTTGCTGTTGAGAAAACACAGTCAATACTGGATGGGGGGGGACTTTCCTTTCTTTCTTCTATGTGCTTAACCAGTAAACCCACCCCCCCACAAGTCAGAAATGCAGCTTAAATGACCTAAGCTGGATGATTTAAGACTGTGTGGAGATAATTTCTAGCCAAAAGCATGTTTTAAGGAGATCGTGGAAAAGTACAAGAGCTTTGGGATGACGCAGTAAAAAACAGTGTCGCCATTTTGGCAAGTTCTGTCGAAAGATTTATGTCTGGGAGGAGGAATGCATCTGTTTTCATACTGCGGGCGAACCTCCTCAGAGGACTAAAGAAGGCGACAGATTTGTAAAGATTAATGATGGAAAGAGTGCTTTTATTTATGGAAGTGATGATATATGGAAACCATCTCGATATGGTTATTGGACGAATGCAAAAAAATCACACAGGATTATAATTTGTGTTTACCTGCTTAAGGAGATTATCAGAAGAGATCACAGAGAAAAAAGAAAAATATATGAAAATAACAAGATGAGATGTGGGAACAGCAAGATAGGACTGGATAGAATTGTGAACATTATTTGGACAGATTTGTGGACATTAATGCAGCAGCAAGAAGATGATTGGAATCCCCTTCGGAACTTGAAATATGGGTACCCCCAACAAAAAATTTAAAATTCAGCTTTGTAATTCGGAATTTATGTGATGTGATTTGATTTGATTTGATTGGTAGGTAATAAAAATTATTTTTTTAAAAAAGAGAAAACACAGTCAATAACGGTGTTGGTGCATGCAAAATGTGCTTTATACCAAGGCAATTTCCTGAAGGCTTGTTTACTCAGGGAGGAATCCTAACTCCCAGCAAGGGAGCTGTGGGGATAAGCATAGTGGGAGAGCTATCGCTATCAAAAAGGCTATCAGTGACTACCAGTTGCTGGGAAAGTAAGAGTGATGTTGCATTTGGGTGCTGCTTGCTGGCTTTCCACAGGCACTTGGCTGGTGACTGCAAGAACAGGATGCTGAACTTGATTTTTGGTATGATCCAGCAAGCCTTTTCTTATGTACAAATCTGAAACTCTGGCATTCACATTGGCCAGAGTGGTGTGTGTGTGTGTGTGTGTGTGTGTGTATGGGGGTTACTAGTTTGAGGCTTACATTAGGCGTGTCTCTGGCTACTGTCCATGGATCCATGGCTAGTCCACCCTCCCCCCCCATTTGGGGGCCTTACACCAGGCATTGCTGGTGGCTGCCTTTCAATAGCCTGTGCTGTCATTGGGGCAGCTACAAGGCAGAGCCCCTGTGATGACAGATCCTACACAGTGCCACATCCTGGGTCGACACCAGCAATGCAGATTAAGGATAAAAGCCTCTTCTGTATTTGGTGTGACTCTCTGACAAACAGAGATGTATTTAAAGTGGTTGACTACATCTGCAGATATTCAATGGTGTAGGCACCTGAACTTTATGGCTTGCTGCAGAAGCATTGCCAATCACTTCCAAAAATGCCTATTAACCCAAGCAACTTCTTATCAGAAAAATGTGGACAGGATTTTCCCAGCTGTGGTGCACCTGCCCACAGATCACCCAGGCTTAATAAAGCTTACGTACTTTGGTTGCCTTAAAGTAAACTGAAGAAGAGCCTTTTGTTCCAAGGAAGTCAGCTGGTCTTTTTTGAGAATCTTCCTTTTTTATGACACCCCAAAGGAGAGACATGGTGTTAATGATACGTGGAAACTCTTCCAAAATGGCATTCCTGGCATTTCTTAGGTTTATAGGGTCAACATTCCACGGTGACTGGGAATACAAAAATAAATAAATAATCCATTAAATCCAAATATGACCAACACTGGAGATCACCCACACTACAGATATGCAGGAAAGAAATAACACATTCAAAATCCTAAAGAATATAATATATAAAAAATAAGTAAGGGTGTTCTTTGCAATAATGACATTATAAATCAGACCCTGTTTTAACACATTTTAAAATTCATTCAATAATTTTTGCTTAGCCTTGTTTATGCATATATAGGGGTACAAACAATTGCACTACACACCACCACTTCCTATAATTTTCAAAAAAAGGGTTCCAAATCAGAATTTGTTTCAGCAGTATTACTACCTTGATAATGGATAGTCATCTTGGCTTTGCAATCAGATTTAAAAATAAAGTGGAAAATGAAATGTGTTGGCAGGAAAGATTTTCAATATCACCTCTAATAAATCAGGTGCATATTCACTTGATATTTTAAAGAAAATCCTATATGGGATTTCAATTTTTTAAAAAAATGTCTGGCCACATTTCACATCTCATAGTATATTGAGGCATAGAATATATAAACATACTTTAAACTAAAATACCTGCTGTTCCCCCGGCTGCATTTTAAATCACAAACTCAAAGTAGTTATCTTTGAAAACATGAAATTGATACAGAAAAACATTTTCACAGTCACATAAGGAAATTTCTAACTGTGGCTTATCTTGACCTGACAAAGATTCCACTATTCCATCTTTTCCTAATATGAGGCTGTCATGGTTTCAATCCTATAACACCCTTAAAGTTCAACATAGTTTGAATGGATATTCTTTAATAATTGGAAACATCACCTGTCAAACGTATATATTAGACAGCAAAAGAAAGCAAGAAAAACAACATCATCATTACCTTTTTGGTTTGATTTGGATGATCCAAAAGACAAAAATGGCCAATAGTGGTTAGTCCTTCCAAAAGGGTAAGAGGATAATCTGGTGTGATGTTTTCCCTTTTAGAATTTATGCTTTGGGGAGAAAGTTAACAATTCAGTTGGTTATTTCAGTCTCGTAAAGAAATTAGTGGATAGCCTGCATTCACTTCCATTAAGCTAGAACCTTTCCTTTGCACGCTATACTTTTAATCCACCCAGCCAGTTATCTGCTGATGCTTTGCTATCTAGGGAGAGTTTGCCCACTGGCTAACTCGTAAAAGCAAAGAGAGAGCAGTGTGTAGATTATCTGTCCTGGATGGAGGGGACAACAGTGGTTTTTGGGTGGGGGGAATACCAGACAAACTTTGCAAGATGATGAAAATGTGGCAGGAAAAAGCCTGTTCTGATTGAGACACCACAAGAATTGAGTGGGACATTTCCCCTACTGGTGGAACTGAGAAGCTGAAACAAGTCTTGCCTGCATAGCTCAGTGCATAGATCAGCTGCCCAGTTCAACCCCAGACACCTCCAATTAAAAGGGTCAGATACCTGGGGCTGGGAAAGGTCTCTTACCAGAGACCTTAGAGCTGCTGCGAGCCAGAGTAGATAATACTGGGTTAGAAAGTCAAGAGACAGACCTGATATAAATGCAGTTTCTTATGTTCCTACATCCTTCCCCTCCCAAGAAACCAAACAAATAATTTAAGGAAACTTACAAATAGAAAATGAGCCATACTGACCAAAAGCTAAATTAGCTAAACATGAAAAAGCCAGATTTTATTAACAACATTCTCTTACCTTACAGATGACTTTGGTGACACTTTCAGAGTTTCATATTCATACTGTTTGACAAGTTCGTCCAGGTTCTTGCAGATCTGTACAATAAACGGTGCCACTGTCCAACCTAAAGATCTCCCAAAGAATGGCAAGGAATATGCAACCAAACCCACCCAAGCTGGATGCATACCATAGCCATACTCGGGCTGCAAGCCTCGGACTACGGCAGACACAAATAATCCCTGCGAGGTTATAGGGTGTGGGTGCACATACTGCATTGCACTAATGGCCTCCTGGAAGTTAAGTGACTTTTGCCATTCCTTAGATAGGCCTGGTTGATTTTCCACCTCCTCCTGAGTCTGTCCAAGGTGATGCTCCAAGACTATCAACACTTGCAGAAGTTTAAGCAGCTCAATCTGCAACGGGTGCTCGCTCCAAATCTGATCAGGACCAAAGTTGATTAGGCTTTCCTCAAGGATGCACTCTTCACTTAACCCATTAGTCTTATTGGCCATTGTATGTCCATAGCACCTCTGACTTACATACATAGAAGCGGATAGAGAAAGGAGGACAAATTCTTGAACTTTGCATCTGCCAAGCAAGTTGCGTATAAATTCTGTGTTCCTGCTCTCTGATGATTTGGCCATTGTAGCCAACTGCATCATCATTCTTATCAAGACTTCAACACTTTTGACCTGGACATCCCTATTGCCAAGCACATCTTTGTGAGTCACTTTTAAGTAACAAGGGTAGTAAGAGCGCAGGAAACTCAGACACAGGTATGTCAGCAACTCTATTAACAGTGAATGGGGACACACGGTTGGTGACTGAGTCTGAAGCTTTCCGTAGAAGCTCTGTCCCACCAGAGCTTCCTGGTGGCGGGCTAGAAGATTGTAGATGAGATTCAGATGAGCTGTGGAGCTCGTATCCATGCTAGTGCTGGCTACAGCTTCAATAAACTCCCGAGGGTTTGTTTTGAGTACTGCCTCAAGTACAGAAAAAGCATATAGGACCCTTTTGGAATCATACGGCTGCAGGTACAAAAGAATGTGCTTAAAGAGAGCCTCGGCCATTTCCTGTTTTTCCTTCTGCTGTTTTAGCAACCTAGCGGTGGTAAGGGCTTGAAGCTCCAAATCCACCTCGTCATCGCTTGAGAGAGACTCCGATGCTTGAGTTTTCTCAGAATCTGCGCGTACCAGATTGAGCATGGTGCTGGATTTGGAACTTTCAGGAGGATAAACATTAGAAGAGCCAACGAGCTTCATGCTTTCTTTGTCGTCTGTCGAGCCACTGTAGTTCTCGTCATTGCTCATATCCTGCTGGTCCAGAGAAGGAGAAAAGGATGATGTATTATCACTATCCGCAGGTCCAGTGCTGGTATCAGCAGACTCTGTGTGTTCACTATTATCCTCCTCGTCTACGTCTGGTGAAGCTTCTGCACACCGATAACGATCACTTACAGCCAGTTCATTTTTAAGCAGGCATTTTTCTGGGTCTTTTTCAACTTCAGCCCAAATGGCTTCCCTGTCCACAGTTGTAAACTGGCTCAGTGGCAAACTTTCTTCAGAGCTGCTTTCAGAACGCCCCAAGGACTTCTGGAAAGGGACTTTCTTCTTTTTGTACCAGAAACGCATGTCTTCTGAAAGAAAGCAAATTTGCCTTTCTAAAAAAGTGACCACTCATTCAGTAGTGAAGGTGCAGCCTTCAGACAGCAGCCGCTTTCACGTCCCAGTATCTGAACACAACGGGTGACCCTCTTTCTTTGCAACTGTGCCATGTGTTCACAATAGACTGTTGTTAAGGGACCTATGTTCTGAAGCAATGTCTATCTGCTGTATAGTTTTAGGTGTCTGATTTTATTCTTCTTTTGGCCTGAAATTGTTGATGCTCCAAACCCCTTTTTAATGATATTTTATCATTTTATTTGCCAGCCACCCAGAGTACAATGTTCTTGGGCAGCCATTTATAAATACAGCAAATAAAAATTAACACGTATTGGCTAGTATTTGTAGATTATGATATTTAACAAATTGGACTTCTTACACTGGAAATGATGGCATCCTTTTGTATCTTTGTGATGCTCATATACACATCAAGGTATGAGAGATAAGCCATGCTCACATACTGATCCTCTGGTTTGCCCTTCCCTATCTTAAAACAATAAACCTTTAAATTGTTCCCTAGAACAATAACTAAGCTGGACAACACCTATCATAAAAGCTACAAATTACTAATTGTACCCAATTAGCCAGAAAATATTGTTTTCACAAAGACAGCAAAGCTGAAATAAATGACAACTCTTAGTATGCTCAGACACACACCAAGTATTTTGCTATGTGCAAAAGTTATAACATTGTTTAGACTATGATCAGACATACTAATGCTGGGATTTAAATGCTGGGATTTATTGCATTTCTTTAATGTAGCCAGATATACTTGGGGATTTATAGCCTCTCTTTTAAAATAGTTTATTTCTCTCTAGTAATTGGGTCAGATAACAATTAATTATATTAATGTATAATAAACCTTAAGTCTTCACAGGAAATTTGGATATAAATATTGCCATTGCTGGGCTATTCCTTTGTGCTTTCCTTCTGAGAGGATCACTGCTTTCATCCAGGTAACTAAAAATTTAACCTCAACCCTTTTTATCAATGCCTTGGATTCTGAACTATCTTGTTTATGCATGACCTTCATATGCTTGTCTACTATGTTATCGACTAATATTGTTTATTTCTTCTTTTGAAATGCCAAACAATTTTTATTAGTTAAAAAAAATAGAATTAAATGTCTGAGACTCACCCCTAGATACTGAGTTCTGTGTGATGATATGAAGGGAGGAACACACACGGCACCTGTTACAGGCAAATGCTAAGGCACAGCTAAGTCAAGGTGTACTACATAGAAGGCAAATTTAGACTTCAACCCTGTAGAGGCCAACATTTCCTGTGCTTGGGGTTTCTGTTTAGACAAAAAGGTGGCATGCCTAACAAATATCCCCCCCCCTCCTGCTCCCATACTACTACAGGCTGGGTCAGCCCATGAAAAGGACTAGGAGTAGTTTCAGGATATACAAAAGAAATATACTGCCCACAACATGTAATTTATGGAATTCATGGCCAAAAAATGTGGTGATAGCTACCACATTGAAAAGGGAATTGGAAGCGTTCATGGAAGGCCAAGACTTATCACTTCCTGCTAGCCTTGATGGCTAAAGAAACCTCCAGGATTAAATATAGCATTGCCGTGTGTGTGTGGGGGGGATGTGTTTCAGTGCATGGTTAGAAGGCTCTCCAGGGGCATCTATTGGGAGACCAAATGCTGGACCAAATTCTTCACCTGAAGGCGAAGGAATCTTCTTAAGTGAAATCTTACCTGCTGAATTTTTCTGCTTGACACAGTGAATAGAGGTACGCTGTGTCCTGGGATGAAGCAGAAGCAGAAGGATGGGTTCCAGAATTCGTGCAACATCATTAAGTGACAGCGCTCGTATCAACCAACCCTGTGCAGCAGCACCAATAGCTCCATCCGAATTATTAAGGCTGTCCAACACAACGAACAGAGACCTGGATGGAGAAATTACAGTAATATTTGTTCAAGGTGACAAGGCTAGAATTATGTTAAAATGTTGAGCTGGAAGACTAGTTTACAAAAAGGGACACACAATTTTAAAATAGCTTTTCCAGCAATAGTAACCTTCTCTGCCTTCTTCAATTTGTTTGTTAAGGACCAGCAGCAGAAAATGAAACCTCTATGGTGGTGTTGTGAACATAAGAATCTTTGAATTGGAGAAACAGGTGAATGTTGTTTGTGTGTGTGTACGCACGCGCACGCACACACACACACACACACACACACACACACGTATGGATGTTCACATCAAGTAGGGAAGAAGCTATGGCTGGCCTGCAATAATGGGTTGAAAGCAAGCTTAAGTGTGCAAATGTGGGAGGTTTCTGTATAGAGCTATAGGAAAACAAGCTAAGCACAATGTTAAAGATGCCCATCAAAAAACAACAACAATATTTTTGGCTTAGGTACATTTTGGGTACATATGAAACTGTAGTCTTTTCAGTTCAATCACCAAAAGTAAATGTAATTTAAACCTACACCATCAAAATAGACATAAAAGTAATAGCAATACCTATCAAAAGAGCGATTGTGGGAAGTGACTCTGCTGCCTTGGATTTCTCTGGTCAAATGCCACATGACAGAGAACCGGAACAGTGCCTCCAGCCTTGTCCCCTTAGGAGGAAAGAAACCCAAAGCAAAATCAGAACAAAAAGAATGTTTATGAGCTAGTTTGATATATTCAACTACATAGATTTAAAATTGCAGCCTTGCAGCCTACATAAATTAGTGATAATTATGGAAAGACAAGAATACGCTGATGATTGTGCACTTGCCCCTCAATACAAGAAAAATGTTTGAGATCTCTTTGAAAATAGCAGTAGTCAGAATGAAATGAATCATTATATTCTTCTAAAGGCTTAGCTCTATTTCCTTTTAGTTTGAGAAATATGAAGCCTTGATGGAACGATTATAGTGAACATGTGGTTACTTATGCTTCCAAAAATGAAGAAAATCACTGTATTGTTAGCAAGTAGGCTGGTTAATTAAATCTGCTCTTCATTATCCAGTTAATTACATCTACTCCTCAAAACCCAGAAGAAGGGATAAAATATAAACTGTGGTTTGAGGAAAAGCTTCTCAGTCCTTGCCCTAATGAGCTACCCAAAGTGCTTGCGAACCTAGGGCTACAGGTAGCCTATGCAGTGTTAGAAGGAAGATTTTGACCAATATTTACTCAAGAGGAATAGGAGACTAGTCCAAGAGTGGAGCTGAGACAGCATCTGTCTACTGGACAGAAGAGCCACATCTAACAGGGCAGCCGCCAAAGAACTGTCTGAAACTGCATGAAGCCAATGGCTGATTCAGTTTAGGACTGCCTACTCTGGTTGGAAGCAACTCTTCAGGAGTTTCCAATTGGTTTGTCAATGCTCCATTACTCAAGACACATTTTGTTTTTTCAGACTGGACATGCCATGGATTGAGCCCATGACCTTCAACATGCAAGGCATATGTTCCACCACACACAACTGATCTTCCTTAATCTTCTCGCACCTTTTTATTTATTTTTAAACAGTATCAATCTGGGGTCTAATGGAGTCCCTTAAAAGTCTTAGCAGAAAGGAATGTTAATCACAGTTTTCAAAACAACTCCAGTTTAACATACAGTGGTGCCTCGCAAGACGAAATTAATTCGTTCCGCAAGTCTCTTCGTCTTGCGAGTTTTTCGTCTTGCGATGCACGGTTTCCCATAGGAATGCATTGAAAATCAATTAATGTGTTCCTAGGGAAACCGCCTTCAGACCAGGTCCGGGGACAGTCTGTCCCCCGACCTCTTCTGAAGGCTGGGGGGGGGGACAAGGGCTTTTCTTCCCACCCCCAGCATTTTAAAAAACCCCGGGACAGCGGAGGACTTCTCCGCTGTCCGGGGCGATTTAAAAGCCCCTGGGAAGGCAGGCAGGGGGGACAAAGATTTTCGCCCCCCGCCCGCCTTCAGAAGAGGTCCTGGACCTCTTCTGAAGGCGGGCGGGGGCGAAAGTCTTTGCTCCCCCCTGCCTGCCTTCCCGGGAGAGCGGAGAAAGGCAGCGCGTTTCTCCGCTGTCCCGGACGGCTTTTGAAGGCAGGCGGGGGGGGGGAGCAAAGATTTTTGCCCCCCGCCCGCCTTCAGAAGAGGTCCTGGACCTCTTCTGAAGGCGGGCGGGGGGCGAAAGTCTTTGCTTCTCCCCCCCCTTCAAAAGCTGTCCTGGACAGGCTTGCGGACCTCTCCGCAAGCAGCGGGAGCGCTCCCGCTGCTTGCGGAGAGTTGCCAGCATGCCGAAGCCTGCGCGCACTGACATCAGCGCGCCCAGGCTTCGCGGCCCCGCCGCCCGGCATCGGAGCTTGGTTCCGATGCCGGGCGGCGGGAGGAGGCTTCCCGCCCCCCTGCCCGGCATCGGAGCTTGGTTCCGATGCCGGGCGGCGGGAGGAGGCGTTCCCGCCTGCCGCCCGGAATCGGAGCTTCGTTCCGAAGCCGGGTGGCGGGAGGAGGTCCGAGGACAGTGGGGAAGACGCGCTGCGCTTCCCCGCTGTCCCGGAGATTTCCCTATGGGCTTTCGTCTTGCGAAGCAAGCCCATAGGGAAATTCGTTTTGCGAAGCGCCTCCAAAACGGAAAACCCTTTCGTCTAGCGGGTTTTCCGTCTTGCGAGGCGTTCGTCTTGCGGGGTACCACTGTAAAATATATTTCACTGATATTCCAAAAACATAAGGTGGTATCTAACCCGTGCACCCTTATCAAGCGAAGATTTCTATTCGGGCAAAGGTACTTTCTCCCTTCTATACACATGCTCCCCCCAACATATGTTCTAGGAGTGATTGTGATATGCCCCCCGCCCCGCCCCACAAAACTAGGGTGCTGTGTTAGGCTATACAACCTTTAATAAACCTTACTTTATCATGATCCAGCAATGCATGGCAGATGATGTCTTCACAGATATTAGCAGATGGAGCCAGGCAATGAAGACGGTAGAACAGCTCTACACAAGTGTTGTGATGCTCTCTCGTCTCTTTGTTTAGCTGATTCCAAAGCACTTGAGCAACTCTCTGTAGTGAAATAAAAAAAATTTAAAAAACCACACTTTCAGGCAGGTTTAAAGGAAACTGTGTTACTGAAAATAGTTCATGGCTTTCTATACCACACACCATCATACAGCGCCATGTTTATTAATGCAATCAAAAGATAATGTGAACACAGAAAACAGTACACAGTCAAACTATGCCATTTGATAGGGCAAAAATGCATTTCACAGTAACTAGGTATTAATACCCTTAACATACACAGCGCCACCCCACACCCCTATACAGCAGAATAATCTAGGTGATGAATACCACTGGAAAGCACATTTGTTTTAAAGGGCAGTTAACATAGAATAATTTCTTTAAAATGTTACAATTTCTTTCTTTCCAAGTTCACTCTGTTGTAGTGGAAAGCAAGTCAGCGCACTCTCATCGCACATAAACTCCCTGCCCCACTGCAGCAGGCAAGGAAGAACGACAGAATTTGGGTGCCCCAACTTGCACGAGCAGAATCATTTTCTGCTAAAGCAAAGCCCCCGCAGGATATGCGTGTGCATTAATATAATTCTTGTTTTGTATTTTACTAGTTCTATGCGACTGTGAAGCAAAGTTGAATACAGAATTGTTTCTAAGGATTATTTGTAAGTGCTTTTCAAAATTAACACGGCAAGGAAATGGGCAATAGACAGGACATGTCTATTTACTTTCTTGGCCGGTTGAATTGATTTGGCCAACAGCACTGGAGAATGGAATGCTGAGCTACCTTCACCCTGAATAGAGTTTGGTTTTTGTACCTCTAGTGAATATCATCCCATGCTATTTCTGCAAGTTGATGTCTTTTCCTTTCCTTTCCTATCCTATCCCTTCCCTTCCCCACCCCATAATACCATTACGGCTGCTCTTCCAGGGTCGCAGTTGCCATTTTGTTTAAGAGGCGCAAGTGCAAGATAGAATCAAGTAAACAACATTAAGCCACTTGCACATTACAATCATTCCACTTCCATGGAAACAACAATGCCCAACACATTGTTTATAATGCAGTTTATAAGTTTATAATGCAGCTTGGCGTGCATTTTAGTACATTACCTGGTAAAAATCAGTTTTTTCCGAAATAAGTTTGAGAACCCCATGTGCAATAGGAGGAACTGTGACCATCTGCAGCCTTCCAAAGAAGGGGTTCTGCCCAGGAACTTTATACCGCTTTACTCGGTCTTCAATAACCAGTGCCAATGACTGGGATTGGTTAATTACTTCTAGCAGTACAGAGATGGACACATTCTGAATGTGGCAGTCATTGACACAGCAACATATTGTCATCAGGGATTTGAGCCACAGGGGGAAACTGGATTCACAGCCACCTGAGGAGAGCAGACAAATAGTTTTACCTCCAGTTTTAGTACAATCGTTATTCGGAACAGTTTGTCCCCTTGACAAACATTTATCATTTAACATATGCAAGTGCCACAAAATTTTACAATGCATCCTTCACCTATGAGTGCATAGGTACTTTCGGAGCTACCCAACCTGACTGGAAGAATCCGCGACCAGAAGGAGGAGGATTATCAGGAAGAATGGGTGAAATTTAAAGACTATTTAGTTAAATATGTAATTGGAAAAGCTTGTAAATACCAGATAGGCTTAGGATTTTAATATGTAATGTGATGAATTAATATGTTGTAATGCTGAATTGAAAAGAGAGAAAGATGTTAAGTGAATAAGTTAATTTTATAAGAATATTGGTGTTGGGAAACCGTTAAAATGATATACACTGAAATTCAACCAGGGGGATACGAGGAAGTCACTTAACAATGTCACTAAGTTTGGTTTAAATATAGTGAAGATTTATGTTTGTTTGTTCACTTGTTTGTTTGTTTGATTTTTTTTGAAAAACCAATAATTTTTTTTAAAATAATAATAATATGAGTGCATAGGTACATAGGAAGCTGCATTTAGATAAGTGTTGTTTACACAGTCTGACAGCAGCTCTCTAGGGGACATTCCCAGAACTGCCCAGAAATGCTGGGGATTGATCATGGGGACTTCTGTCTGCAAAACAGATGCTCTGCCCTTCTCTAATATAGATGTGATCCTGCTCAGGATTCTAGCCAGCCCAGCCATTCCTCTCCCCCCCCCCAACCACCACTTTCCTTTCTAAACCAAGAGTCAACATTCTTTAGTTATTCAACATGTTTAGTCCACTTTGGGCTGCTTTGGGGTTGCTTTTTATCCCATTAAAGTTTTTTTTAAATATATTTTTGTACTTTCTCCAAACAAACTGATATCTCTGTCTTCTTTCTTAAGAGCCCTGGCGGTACACACAATCTAAAGAACATTACTAGGTAAGTACATTACATTGCTAGACACATTACTAAACAAGATGATAGAAGTATCAACCCATTTTTCATCTGAAAGTCATTGGCCAATTGTGCATGGGAAATGCAAATTAGACAGGGATGTCATCCAGACCTCAACATGCCAAGCCGAAGAAAGCAACCAAGGTATGAATGCACATTTACCTAGCAATAAGTCCAACTATGCTCAGTGGGACTTACTCCTAGGTAAATATGCATTGGAATGCAGTCAAAGAGCACAAGCTCTTTCAGAAAACATCACTTTAACGAAATACTGGCAAATCTGAGATTGTGCCTATTTGATCCTTTAACCTTCAATCCACCCAACACATACCTGGCTATCCTTTCTTCACTCAGGGCTTTACATGCTCTTTGCCAGCACTCTGAAAGCCACATGCCCCTAGGCCTTAACTGGTCCTTGCCCTACACTTACAAATTTAGAGCCCTATCACATTACTATCTTTGCACAATTCTAATGGAAGATTATTGAATACACAACACTGCCTTATTATGTACTCTGCAAATTATAATGTTCCTCTTACCAGGCACTTGAAAGAGAGACAAATGGAGCTCCTCAGTTTCCTCCTCAGAAAGATAAACAGGGAATGTAGTACAATCCAATAAGAGGTAGCACATAGCTGCAAAGGCCTCTCTACAGTCTTCTCTCATATCTCCCAAGTCAAGCATAACTTGGTCAATGTCCCATTCTTCTTCCTTTTTTCCCCTTTCACCACCAAGCTCTTCTGAAGGAGATGGAGGATCCAGATCTTTCTGTTTAAAAGATGACCCTCGGACAGTGAATAGGTCTGTTAGCATCTGCTTAAACTGAGGCACAGTTATTTGCTTGGAGTCCCATGAGCTCCTTTTCTTGGAAATATTTCCAGCAGCTTGATAATGGTTTCCTTTTTTCTCCCCTTGTCTTGAATGCACTGACAGAACACTGCCATTACTGGGATCTTGTAGATGAACGACAAATACGTATTTGCTGGCAAATTTTGCCACCAGCTCCTGGATGCACTGCAAGGTCTTCTGCATGCTTCCACCCTTTTTCCAGACATCATCTTTCTCAGGAGTTACCCTAGGTATTCTCAAGTGCTGAGAGAACTCTGGGGATGAAGTGCTAAGGCCTATACCACTGTCTTCAGACTTGAGTGGAGGAAAAAGAGTGTCATCTTCATTCTGGAGCACTTTGGATTCTGTAGTCAGTTCCTGGTTTTCTTCCCTCATGGGGCTCTGAAATAACCCAAATGTGAATGTTGAGGTTTACTCTATACAAAAACCATACATGAATAACATTAAAACATCCTTGCATGTTTTAACTGCATGTTTCAAATGCCTGGTAAAAACTTTTTCTATTCCATCAGGCTTGTGCAAGCAAACAAGAAATACCGTATTTTTCGCACCATAGGACGCACTTTTTCCCTCCTAAAAAGCAAGGGAAAATGTGTGTGCGTCCTATGGAGCGAATGCAGGGGGGGAGGCAGGCGGGAAAAGCCCCCAAGAGCCGCACACAAGCTCCGTGCGCTCTTGCGGGCTTTTCCACAGGAGGGAGAAGGGACTGACTGGCCACATCAGTCCCTTCTCCCACCTCCCAGGAAAGCCAGGAGAAGCCGTGCAGCCCTTTTAAAGTGCACACGGCTTCTGCCGGTTTTGCGGGAGGTGGGGGAATTCCCCCACCTCCCAGAAAAGCCAGGAGAAGCCGTGCAGCCCCTTTAAAGAGCTCACGGCTTCTGCGGGCTTTTGCGAGAGGTGAGGGAATCCCCCCACCTCCCAGGAAAGCCAGAAGAAGCCGTGCAGCCCTTTTAAAGTGCGTGCGGCTTCTGCCGGTTTTGCGGGAGGTGGGGGAATTCCCCCACCTCCCAGAAAAGCCAGGAAAGCCCTGCGCAGCATCTCCCGACAAGGAGAGGCTGCGCGGGGCTAAAGGGGAAGGCAAAACAGCGAGCGGGATCCATCCCGCTCGCTGCCTTGCCTTCTTCCATAGCCGCGCGCAACCCCTCCGCAAGGAGAGGCTGCGCGGGGCTAAAGGGGAAGGCAAAACAGCGAGCGGGATCCATCCCGCTTGCTGCCTTGTCTTCTTCCATAGCCGTGCGCAACCCCTCCGCAAGGAGAGGCTGCGTGGGGCTAAAGGGGAAGGCAAAACAGCGAGCGGGATCCATCCCGCTTGCTGCCTTGCCTTCTTCCATAGCTGCGCGCAACCCCTCCGCAAGGAGAGGTTGCATGGGGCTATGGCTTCTTTAGCCCTGTGCAGCGTCTCCCGGCAAGGAGAGGCTGCATGGGGCTAAAGGGGAAGCCAAAACTTGGCTTGCTCCATAGCTGCTCGCAACCCCTCTGGCAGGGAGAGGTTGTGCGCACCCTGTACGCTGCTCTTTGGGGCTGGGGGGGGAAAGATTTTTTTCTTGATTTCCCCCCCTAAAAACTGGGTGCGCCCTATGGTCCGGTGCGCCCTATGGTGCGAAAAATACGGTATATACTTCCACAACAGCTATCCAATTTCTGATGTAAACCTTTTATATGGTTTTTATTGTATGGCTTTATGTACAGTTGTGAACCACTTTGCTATTTTCTTTATAGGCATATAAATATTTTTATAAGTAAATGAACAGATGTGGGGTTGAACACTGCCTTACATGAAACAAAGACACATATCTGGTAGAAAACAGTGGGGATTTATATTTGTCTGGAACTACCCTTGTGCTATTCAAATGCAAAGGCATATTCTGCTTTAAGTATTACACAAATTCAGATGTTATGGAGAAAGAGAGCTGAGTTTCAGTGTACTGATGCCATTTCGCCCTCATGAATGTTCCCAGCAGCTTCATATCAATATTAAATACCATTTGAAATAAAACAGTGCAGCATCCCTTAGTGTAACCACCAGGGGGCAAAAAAAGCAATCTCTTAATACAACTTTCTGGACTTGGTCCTGTAGATAGGATCAGAATCAGTGTAACACAGAATCCCCATCCGATGGAGCTGGTCCAGGAGCATATCTCTGTCTGTGGTACTGAAAGCCACAAGAGAAGCAGGAGCAAGGTTGCTCCCTGTAAAAGTCAAACTCTCCACTACCTTCCCTGTGAAGTGGATATTTGTAACTGTTTGATAGTTATTCCAATATTAATATTACTATAGCAAAATACTGTACTGAAGCACCTACACCGCTCATCATGTATGAGACTGAATATTCAGCCTTCTGGGCCAATTGCAGAAAGCCATCGTAAGCATCAGACTCTTGACATGACAAGTCAAACTGAATATTTGAGTTATTTGCAAGAAACATAGTACTGATACCTAGTTTAATATTTAGGATGGCGGGGTGGGGTGGGGTGGGGGAGGCGAAGCGTCCCATTACGGCATAAGAACTACAGTACAGCATAATGAATGACAACATTAACAATCTGATTAATCAATTCACAAAATGTATTACAGACATAAACTCATCTCTTAATACCTACAGTGTCTGAGCTTCCTGTATCAGTACCTAGGTAGGCAGGGGGCATCTGCACTTTGCTAAGTACTTTGAAGCATGTCCTTAAGGCATGAGTGAGCTCTGGTAAACTTAGTGTTTCCATGTTTTCAAGGAGAGATTGCACTATACAGCAGAGCATCTGTGGCAGATAGAGAGACTGCACTTCGGAATAAAGTTCCTATAAAAACAAGACATTTCAAATAAGCAAATCTCTGAAATGACGTACATTTAATTTAGAAATCAGTTCTTCTTGCTTATTACATTTTATGTATATACATGCAATCAATTACATCTTTATTCTAATCTTGTTTATTATGTTAACATTTAAAAATAAAGATTGATTCTTGTACACTTTGATGTCATTTTTTAAACAACTGCTTTTACTCATGTTGCTAACATTCTGGGCCTTGTTGAAGAATGGCAGGTTATATTAAATAATTTAAGTAAATAATTAATAAAATAATTTATAGACCCTAGAGAAGTCACTTTACTTGAACCTAAAGAACAGCTAAAGAACACAGCACATACATAGTTATCCAATATTAAACGAGGTTGTAAAAACAAGTTTGCAGATTATTGCATATTCCCCCCCGCTAAAATTATCAATCTTTTGTTTTCTTCTAGGGCACAAAAGCTGTCCATAAATGTACAAAACATCGAACAAAACCTATAATTCCACAGCTCTTTAATAGATGTGTGAGACTTAAGTCATAAAAGTTGAGCAAATAATAAGGACAAGACTAGTATGCAAAAAACACTTTTCAAATGACAAATGTGTCCATGCACCATCAGATATTTGGCAATTAAAAATGTGTTTTCTTAATAATTAGTTTATTTGCAGGGATACACATGGAAATTGACTTACTAATGGTATTACATCTAGAAGAAATATCAGTAGAGTGCAGAGTTCTGAAACGGTTGCAACATTCCTCGTCATAAGTTGTGTCTGCATAGATTTATTTCTGCAATTGAAAGGGAAAGCGTGGTTTTGAGAAACTTTTTTAGAAACTGAACTGCATTGATGTTTTATCTTGCTTGCTACTTTTGGTAGAAATGCAGCTAAGAAATGTTTCGATATTTATGGCTGAAATGTAATAAAGCTCAAGCATTGAAGAGATGTGAAAGTGAACACTGCAGCAGCATATTATCCCTAAGTTTTATACATTATATCAATGGCCAGGATCTTGTATGCCAAGACATGAAAATGCATAAACATTTAAGGATCAAGGATGAATTAACCTGACTCCCTTTAATAAGATAAAAAGTTAACAAACAAAACAAGATTTTAAAAACCTGCATATGAAAACTATTGTTTCGGTTAGTTATGCTTTTATTGTTAAATAAAGAAATTTCATAGGAAGCAATTCATCAACAATATGAAATAAATAAACAAACAAAACTAAGATTCAAACATTATCTTCAACTGAACTGTCCAACAGGTTCAAAAGGATATATCGAATATTTTTTTAGGTAAAGTAACCAACTCATTTAATTCAAATTTGTTCTACCATTCTCTCAGCCATTTACTTACTCACTCACTCACTTACTTAAATATATGACTATTGAAAGATTCCTTTAATGCTTTTCAAAAATGTATTACAGTGGTGTACAGCAATAAAACTTCATAGGAAATACATACAACACATAGTAGGTCAAGAATGAGTAGCGAAGTTCAGACTCTTAGATTAACTCTAACAGCATAATATATATATATAGAGAGAGAGTGCGCACGCTACCTGAAGCAGTCTTCGAAACATCTGGTCATATAATCCCAGAGAAAATCCGTGCTTAAGGATGTGATCAGCAGATTAGCTGTTTTAACTATCTCAGATGCATTCTTGTTTTCTTTGATTGCACTAAAAACAGCAAGAGTCAAACAAATGTAGTAAATATTCAGCAGTAAGCATTCTGAAGTATTAAGGACAGAAGTCAAAGAACAAATATATATTGCAAAATAAGAAATCTAGCAGGGTAATGGGAACTATGTCTCATCGGCTGTTGTTGATTTCTGCTGCATATGCTTCTGACAGCATCCTGACCACAAGACGGGTTATGTACTGTAGTTGCCATGATACCATAAGCCCTACTGGACTACCAGCATCAATGGACCTACATTTCCAATTGACCTTTGCAGCTGATAATCCAACAAGGGGCCCTGCAGCCATTTCCCCCTATGTCATCATCAAGAGAATTGAGAGGTCTCAGCTTGATGCAGTCTCAAATAAAACCAAACCCTTAATTACAATTTGCTTGCAGTGTGCCCATTCTAAACTGAGTGCAGGGGTGCTCACTCACCACTACCTATAAAAAAAAATGATCGACATATTAACTGTCTAACCATTCTAGTTCAATGCTCAATTTCAATGAAATTTACTTTCAGGGAAATGCTAATTTGGGTACTCAAATGCAATGACACAATAGTCATGGTCAGCAGGAAACTAGCGGGGTGGGGAGATAAATCAAATCCCAGTAGTGTTTTTTAGGCACCTGATTAATGTCAGAGCAAAAAAAGAAAAAGAAAGACCAAAGCATACCTTGTAAGGACATTTCCTGTTTGACTGTAACTAAGTTTAAGATCAGAACCCAGTGTATCCTTGCAATAAGAATAGAATGCTCTGATCACTTCAAGAAACAAATCCGCAACAACTGGTGGTCCTTCAACAAAAGAAAGATACAATGAAGTCTGATCATAATGAGTGGCAATATTTTATTTCAGAGTAGAAAAGGAGGAAATAGAAACCCAACTTCTTAGTGGCTCAATGAATTATGTAGATTATTGTCAAGCCCTGTTCCATTTTTACTGGAATGATTAAAAACCGACAATGTGATCAGAAATTGTTTCCTAGAACCTTAATATTCTTAGTCAGAAGCTGAGTACTGTACTGGTCTCAGGTCATCAGATGAAGTAGGCTTTAGCTTAGAATGCCTATGGCATTACATTTTAGCCTTTAAAGCAACGGATCCTTGTTTTTGTTGCAACAAACTAATACAACTATTTTTCAGGAGCTTTTCTTCTATTTCATATTCCTCAGCAAGACCCACTGCAAGTACTTAGAAATATATGTATCCCCCCCCTCCCCGCAATGACTGCAACGATTCATATTATACAACATTTATTCTGAGCTACTATTGTGGCCTGTCCCCTTACCACAGATTTGTTATCTGAACAAAATGTTTTAAGCAGGCACTGAAAAGAGAACATCCAAGGTTGATGTCAATAAGCAGGGAGTTTCAAAGAATAGACGCTGCCAAGTAAGTAATGTTCATTAATTTCAATGGGTCTACTCAGAGCAAAACAAACAACAAATACAACCCGTTCCTTTGAAAGCAGAAGGGCTAGCGCTTCTTTGCATCTGCACTAGGTTTCCTCAAAATAAATTCAAACAATACTTTGAGAGAAGATCTTGCTTGCTGTAGCCTATACACCAATTTCAAGCAATATTTCAAAAGGATAGAAATAATGCCACAGGTTCTCTTATATTTAAATATTGCACAGATATATGAAATAATGGTAGTATTTTTCTATTATATGTCAGGCTTTTAAAAGTGAAGTAACAGTAGCATGCTCATACCAATGGAATATACTTCCTTATTTCATGAGAGAGAAGGAAAAAGCAGGATTGCAGAACATCTAACAGTTAAACCATAAGAGACCCTGAAAATGCAACATTAGTTTGGAAGTTACTTCTAAACATTTAGGAATAGAAATGTTATTTCCACAATAGAAATCCACAAGAGCTACTCAAGCAGCCAAGGTTGACAGCCATTCAGAACATAATCTAGAGACAAGATGGTTTTAAAAACCAATATGAAGCTATGGCCATAAAGCTGATATGGACAAAACAAAGGTCAGTTCATAGTGTGTTTCCTGCATATCCTGGAGGCATACTGAAGCACATGACTAGTGATCTGGGCACAAGCCTTATTGGGAATCATCATGATAAGAATAATAAACAAATTATTATTATTATTATTATTATTATTATTATTATTATTAATTTATTTATACCCTGCCCCCCCAAGACTGGGCTCAAGGCGGCTAACACCGAGTATAAAAACAATTGATTAAAATACAACTTAAAAACAAACTGAAAATACAACATTAAAATGCAGCCTCATTTCAGTAGAAATTCAAATCAAAAACTTTTTGGGGATGAAAACGTCAAATCTTCACCAAGGCCAACTATCCAGACTGTACCTACGTGGGCCAGAAAAAAGCCAGGGAAGTCCCCAAATAGGAGTTCCATCACAGAAGGAAAAAGGAAAAAGGGGGAGGGGATCAAGTTGATTCCAAGCCAAAGGCCAGGCGGAACAACTCTGTCTTACCGGCCCTGCGGAAAGAAATCGGATCCTGCAGGGCCCTGCAGAGCGTTCCACCAGGCCGGTGCAAGTGTTGAAAAGGCCCTGGCTCTGGTTGAGGCTAATCTAACTTCCTTAGGGCCAGGGACCTCTAGGGTGTTGCTATATATGGACCTTAAGGTCCTCCGTGGGGCATACTGGGAGAGGCAGTCCCGTAGGTACGAGGTCCTAGGCCGTGAAGGGCTTTAAAGGTCAAAACCACCACCTTAAATCTGACCCTGTACTCCACCAGGAGCCAGTGAAGCTGGAAAAGCACTGGGTGAATATGCTCCCATGGCAGAGACCCCGTGAGGAGCCTCGCTGCAGCATTCTGCAGCCGCTGGAGTTTCTGGGACAGCTTCAAGGGCAGCCCCGCATAGAGCAAATTACATCCTGCTACCTATTGGCAAAGAAGCTGTAAAGTTTGTCTTTTGTTTTGCTTAGCCATCTATTGGCCTGTTCACATGTAATGTTAACCCATAGTTTATTAATTGGTATGGTTTGTTTATAACCAACAAACAACACTCTGCAGTCAGGATTTGTTGCTGGCTATGGTTTGTTTTAGCTGTGACTTAGTTCTTTAACTTTCTTCTTTAACCATCATTTGTCATCCCACATCAGATGCTTGCTAAAGGCACAAACCTAGAACAAATGGAAAACAAATATATGTAGCCAAGTATATTTTTGTGTTAGTTCTCTTGAGAGACTTCCTTCTTACCTATTTCAGGTTTGTCAAGTAGGCTTATCAGAATGCGGAATGGTCTCAAATATGCATGATGCTGTTCCTCCAAGTCAGATTCCGCAAAATTTTGATGCAGTATTTCAATCAATGCCTGTCAAAACAATCAAATGTTGAATTTGGAAGCAAAAATAGCATTAACATTGTCACTTACTCTAATCTTACTGCTTACTGCTAATCTCAAAACACAGCCAAACCCCGACTGAAAAGAAGGGTGGAAAACTGACGCCAGATTCCAAAGCCATTTTCAGAATTCCTCTTTTACAACCTAACATTGTGGTTCTCCTGCAACTGCAGAGAAGACATAGTGGCTTGCGCTGCAGCGGCTAAAGTAGTATGTGGTTTGGCATGGACAGGGGAAAGAGCATAGCCAATAGCTCCTACCCACAGCAGACAATTCCCCCACATTGCCTTTAGAACTAGGAATCAGCATCAATAGAAGTATAGTTTCCAGTACCGCTCTGTACTGCCTTGGTCAGACCACATATGAAATACTGTGTTCAGTTCTGGGCATGACAATTTAAGAAGGATATTAACAAGCTGTAATGTGTGCAGAGGGCAAGCAAGATGATCAAGGATCTGGAAGCCAAACCTGATGAGGAATGTTTGAGGGATGTTTAGTCTGGCTAAGAGAAGACTGGGAGAAGATATGATAGCCATCTCCAAACATCTAAAGGGCTGTTACATGGAAGAAGAAAGCTTGTTTTCTCCTGCTCCAGAGGCAAGGACCCAAATCAATGGGTTCAAGTTACAAGAAAGGAGATGCCAACCAAACATTAGACAGAACTTTCTGTTCAACAGCAGAGCAGACTCCCACAAGAGCTGGTGGACTCTTCTTTCATCGGAGGTTTTCAAGCAGAGGTTGGATGGTCATCTGTCTTGGGTGCTTTAGCTGAAATTCCTGCATTGCAGGGGGTTGGACTAGATGACCCTCGGGGTCCCCTACAACTTTACAATTCTATGACTCTATGAGTTGAAGGGAAATGTTGATTTTTCTGCAGTTCTAGTATTATGACCTGCTTCCTCCTTGCACTCAGAGCTACAAAACAGAAGCATAACTAGTAGAGACGGTTGAATGTCAGCAATGAAATGCAGTTGCTGACATGGCTGTGCCACTTCCTCCTGCTGTACCTACACACTGAGACTGGGACTGGATGCTACCACCAAAATTCCCATATGTGATCCTATGAGCTGCTGAGCTTGCACACGGGTGACTAGGCAACAAGGAATGTATCTTTCAGGGAATTTATTATAATATAGGTTACATTCTTCAAGGAATATTACGCACCTCAACTAAAAGATCTTTGGAATATTTCCCAAAAAAGTAGAAGGCATGGTCCTCTAAGGACATAGAAATAGACGGATCTGGTAGAAAAGTACCTCCCTTGATATCAGAACCTGAGAACATGATAAATAAAGAAAATATGAAAGTGGATTAAATATCATGAATGCAATATAATATACTTTTAAATCAACGGCACAAACAACTATGACAAAGGTTGAACTGCTTTTCCCTTCCGACATTAATAGCACTTGAGCCATCAGTGTGGAATCAGGGGATTTTGCTTAATTTGACAGCAGGACCCATCCAAAAGAAAGTGTGGCAGTAAGTTTAACTTTCTTTGGTCTTTTGTAGAGTCACATACATGTCACATTCGATACTGTAGGTGGTGGAAGCCCATAATATGAGCTACTACTATAGATGCAATACATGCATGCTAACTTCCTGTGAGTTATATTGAGACCAAAGCGCATGCACCAGGAGCTGTGTATCCAGCACTGTGGGCGCAATTTTCTGGAGCTCTCTTCCAGCTGAGTTCAGACAGGCCTGCTGGTTGTTGAACGTCTGGTGCTTTATTTTAGCAGTACCCTTTCCCAATTTCTTTTAACCTGATTTTATCTTCATTGTATCTTTTTTGTGACCTTATTGTGCACCTTTACTAGACTGCGGTGTTAAACTGACCATAAATGGTTGAATAAATAAAATGTAATAAACAGGATGTCAGATTTATGCTTGTGCTATTAAAATCTGACATGAAGTTGGATACACTTTCCCCTCACACATAAGCAATATCTAGTATGGATGTAAAATAGTGATCTGGAGATAGGAATCTGACTTCTACACAGCCAGATCACTCACTCTATCCAGTATCATCTCCATTGCCTGGCCACAGATCCCTAGGGTTTCAGACAAAAGCATTTGTTTCTCAGCTCTATCTGAAGATGCCAAGGATTAAACCCGGGACTTTTTACATACAAAGCATGTCCTCTACTACTGATCCATGGCATTTACCTGGTAAGTGAAATATAGACCTTTAATCCCACCAGTCTTACAAAGTGAATAATCAACTGTCCGGCTTAATATTGATTTCTGTTTCACAAAATAGTTCATAATACAGTGGACACGGAGCCTTCTATTAATTTAAACTTTCTACTTGGTATTCCTGAATTACTGAGAAAGCAAGCTGTCAATTAAGTCACTGAGTAAGCAATGTATGACAATAAAGGGTGCAATTTTTCAAAGACAAAGGCAGTGGTAGCCAATGTGGCACCCTCCAGATGATGTTGTGCTACACTTCCCATCAGCCTCAGCCAGCTTGGCCACAGGTGATGGCGGGGGGGGGCATGTTGGGTACCCCTGGTCTAATTGATACTTCTGTGGTACTCCCCTTCCATTGGGGAAACGCTTGTGCACACAAAATCTTATGCAAGGTAACACAAATGGCACTTCTCTACATACAGTATAATCATAACCCCGCCTACTCAGAAGTATGTCCTATTGCATTCAGTGTGGCCTATTTCCAGGGAAGTGGGGTTAGGACTGCAGCTGTAGTTGTATAAGGCAATTCCAGCAAAGATGCATATAATACAGTGTTTGGGGATGTCTGTATACTCCCTGAATATCCTAGGACAAAAATGTTGTAAAAAACGGTGTTCTGCTGTAGATGGCCCATAAATACAGATGAAACCTGGAGTTTTTAAACATTCTATTTCAAGAGTGTGCACTAAAGTTATCTGAACACCAATAGCAAAAATTACACACAAAGAAAATGTGGCTATAATTTGTACAGTACCTAGCAGCCATGCATATAACCTTCTGTTAAGTGACATATCTCTTCTTAAGAGAGTTTGGGCAGATGCTGAGAGAAGGTGGACTATATCAGACCTAGATAGTGTGACAGCACTTTCACTGGGATCCTAAACAAAGAACAGACAAGTCAGATATAGGTGAGTTTCCTCAAACAAAAACCAGGAAATGCAGAAACAAACAAAGCCACCACACTGTGGCAATAAAAAAATTTGCAGCATAAAACTCCTCCCACTTTAATGCTGCAATCTGTTCATGTCTATCAGACAGCCTAACCATAGTAGTTCTGATATTGGCAACTTCAAGACTTGATTTATTGCAATGCAATCTGTGTTAAATGTCCCTTGAGGCTGGCCAAGAAACTGCAGTTACTAAAGCAGCAAGTTGTTTTGGTGGTGGATACGGCAGTGAACTCCTTAGAGAACCAGAATTTTGTACAGGGCTGCCCCTTCTTTAAACATCTTCAGAATACTTACACAGAGACCAATGATTTGTTTGATTTTGGAATGGGTGGGGGAGAACTAAAAAATAAACCCAACCAGAAACCAAGGCACCACTTGCATGTACAGAAAATGTACAAAGCCTAGGCAGTTTTCCCTTGCACTTGCCTGTCAGTGTAGCGAGCCTTAAGAGTTGGACCACAAAAAGTTAAAGTCTTTTCCTTACCAAACATGAATAAAATGGGAAGAAGAAGAGAACCACTTCCAAAGTGTTCCTTTGTACAAGAACATTTGAATCCAGCATTGACACACAAAAAGCTTTGACCTGTAAGAAAAGAACAGAATTGCATTTGAGGAATACACCCCTCTGCTGCCAAGGAATATACTTGGTAGTGGAGGGCATGACGGAGGCACAAGCTCCATGTGGGGAGAGGTGGGGGACTTTGTGTGGGCTGAGAGGATGAAGTACAGCTAATCTTCCCCTCTCCCCAAGCTTCCTTTGGGGCAAAGGGAATGGGAAGTTGTTGGAAGTGTTAGGATGTAGTAAAGCTGACGGGGTCTGCATGGGGATAAAGTAGGTAAGAGAGAGTAATCCCCCTGGACTGTCTTTCTCACCTAACCTGTAGTCATTTTCTTCAGATGCCAGACTCTTAGGACTGCTGACCTCACTTCCTACTTCTCCCTTTCCTGATCCCACTTTTTGCTTCTCTCTTCTGCAGAGATGACAGAGCAAGCATGGCTCTCCACATCTCTTTCTTAAAAAGGTACCCCTGCCCGTACGGGCCAGTCTTGACAGACTCTAGGGTTGTGCGCCCATCTCACTCAAGAGGCCGGGGGCCAGCGCTGTCCGGAGACACTTCCGGGTCACGTGGCCAGCGTGACATCGCTGCTCTGGCGAGCCAGAGCCGCACACGGAAACGCCGTTTACCTTCCCGCTAGTAAGCGGTCCCTATTTATCTACTTGCACCCGGGAGTGCTTTCGAACTGCTAGGTTGGCAGACGCTGGGACCGAACAACGGGAGCGCACCCCGCCGCGGGGATTCGAACCGCCGACCTTTTGATCGGCAAGCCCTAGGCGCTGAGGCTTTTACCCACAGCGCCACCCGCGTCCCGATCATCTCTTTCTTAGTTAGGCAGAACTAGGACCAGCTTTCGATCAAACATGCATTTCGTCTAACTAACGTAGCTTTCTTATTTTTCTATACTCAAGACTCTGTGGTTGCCTTCAGCGAAAAGTGTGTTCCTCCAAACAGGGATTCAGTGCAGTGTTCAGTTCAAGGTTCTGCTGGTGCATATAAACTCCGTATCAAAAGCCCCCTTTCCAAAGCAGTCAATCTGGGGGAGATTTCACATGGTCCCTATTATTCTTAGATTTGTTGCTGTTGATCAACACAGCCAGAGAAAATGATCTGAGAAAGGGCATCCAAGGATGGCTATGTATCACCTTCATGAGTGTATGATTAGTTTGCAGTTTGCCCATGGTTCTAGAATTGTTTGTTTAGAAACGCATACAAAGAACACACATGACCAGTTGTGTAACCTACCATGAGCTTAGTATCAGTTCCCAGCATATACTTCTGCTGTTTTCCAGATAAGTCTCTGTTGATATGACTAACAACAAAAAGGGAGGCAGGCAGTCTTATGGAAGGACTAACCAGGACACTCCCCCATAATGCCGAGTAAAACACTTCTTTGCCAATTACTAGAGACAACTTCACAAGTAAAGCATCTGTCCTGTTAAAACAAAAAGAAGTGGAAATGAAAAAGGGAAGTTTCTATACCACTTCCATCAAATGACCATTCTTTTTTAAAAAAACCCCACAGCTTAATCTAGAAAAGATCACTCACTCCAGTTTGGGACTGTCACTGCATTCACAATTTCATGTAATTTGTCACTCTGTCACAAGTTATACCCAGTCTAGGCCTGCTCTTTCTATAGTAAATTAGTATTGCCACTCATGTACGTCACAGGTACTCAAAATTGGGAACTGATGTTACGGAAGAAGATGGTGAAATGATTCTAGGGTTGTGCTGAAGGAAATTACTACTCTAGTCAACCCTACCACATTTTAGCAATTGTGACTCAAAGGATCATGGGACCATGCCTTCAACCGTACAACTTAGATAAAAAAAAATCACCCTTTGGCTGCTAATTACAGTGGTGCCCTGCAAGACGAATGCCTCGCAAGACGAAAAACCCGCTAGACGAAAGGGTTTTCCGTTTTTGAGTTGCTTCGCAAGACGAATTTCCCTATGGGCTTGCTTCGCAAGACGAAAACGTCTTGCGATTTTTTTCGCTCCCCCCCCTTTTCTAAGCCGCTAAGCCGCTAATAGCCTTTTAGCCGCTAAGACGCTAAGCCTTTAATAGCCGCTAAGCCGCTAATAGCGCTAATCCGCTAAGCCGCTAATAGGGTTGCTTCACAAGACAAAAAAACCGCTAGACGAAGAGACTTGCGGAACGGATTATTTTCGTCTTGCGAGGCACCACTGTATTTAATGTTGTCAGTATTTCAATATAATAATGGGCTACTTATGGCCATCTGCTTTAGATCTCTCCTCCCCGCCAAGTCACATCACTAATGGGCAAGACTTAATGTACGAGTCACCCAATGATTGCTCATAATCTGAATAAATTAAGTAGACAGAATCTCTTGATCGGAAAGAAGTAATCACCTCAGGAAGTGCTGATAAGAATAGGATGCAGGCTTCCCACCTTTGTTTCTTCTTCTTTCAAACACAGATTTTTGTGAAGACTTTGCTTGGGGGGCGGGGAGTACCAACATGTGGTGGCGGCGAAACATATTGGAAAGTTAAGTAATACTTACAGTAATACTAACAGTATCCCATTCACCTGCCTTTTGTGGATTTTGGTGGAGATCTGGTGTCTGAGAAGGCTTTAATATTTGAAAATAATTTCTGACAGTTCAGTTGTCTACATAATTGGATTAATGTATACTATGAATTTGCAGAATTAGAGAAAGGAAGCCCGCATCCTGAGAGCTTAACCAAAAGCAAACTACCCACACAAATTATGTGCATAATTAAATAATACACGTAGTAGAGACAGACTTGATGGCTGACAAGACTCTCAACTACACTGCATCAGTTCAGCATCACTGATGTTCCAAATCTCATACCAGTCATAATCTTGTTAGAGGCCTTAAGTCTCTGTGTTTCATCCCCCACTCCTATCTACAATAGGCAATAGTGACATACTTTACACTCTTATAAGACTGTAAGAAAAAAACAAAAATGCTTAGGGTGAGTTTAGAGGATAAAGCTCAAGCAAATGTTTCCATAAAATTCTGAAAACAGACAAGGCTTTCTCTAAATTCCATTGCCAGAGCTTGTAAATATTAAGCAGAAGGGAGTTTTTCCTGCTGCTTCCAGATGCCTTTTGGCACAGCGACATTTCCATTTGTACCCAAAAGAACCTGCTTGTTTGCACTTATGATTCTGCAGCCACAGGCACTTCCTGCTCAAGTTGTCCTGTGGCCCTTGCCAAATACAAACAGAACGTCTTAACTCTAAATCCTTACGGCTCTGTCCTTCCTGTTTCTTTCAGTAGCTTGTCTTCTCTGACCCCACCAAGAGCCTTTCCACATGCCCCATACTGCACAGGTGAGCAACTCTTGGAAGTGGGGGGTTTCTATTAAATAAATATATTTTTAAAAAGTTTTTAAAATGCAATGACATTTATTGTAAGAGCAAGTGATACCAACCTGTCATAGATTTCTGACCCTTCCTCCAAACCGGGCAGGAGTCCAATTAAGAAGGCTTGAAGACTTGGCAAGAGGCACTTCTGCAGTGGGATAAAGTATTTTTCATACAGGCCAAGAAGAACAGGCCTCACCGACATTGCTGCATTTGCCAGCAATGGAAACAAGCCTGAGCTGTGACAGAGAGAGAATAAGAGATTAAAAAAGGGTGAATGGGTGTCAGCCATTGGTTGCATTCACACATTATGTTAAATTATGGCTTAGTATTACAAGGATGTGTTGAACGGGGTCTTGGGCTTCTCCCCTGAGGCAGCCATGAGAAAGCTTAGAAACATTTGTTCCCATTTGAAATTAATCACAGCTTTTTGTGACTACTGAAACCTGGAAAACTGTGGCTAATCTTAGTTATTTGTTCAAACAGGTTAACCTCAAACCACACTTTATGAAGTTGGCTCGTTTCAACAACAGTAGTGAAGACTAACTACAGTTCAGGGTTTGTACATGACATTAAACTGTAGTTTACCTGAAACAGAAGCTCCCAATCTGCTTTTTGCAGTCGCACTTGAGGGGAGGGGAAGCGTGAGCTTGAGGCTCTTTTCTGCAACTCATCCTTGCAGTGCTAAACCAGAGTTTAATATTATCTGCAAGCACAGCCATGAATATTAAATTCCAGTCGTACTTTTTAAGTAGAATGTTTACCTGTATAGAAACAAGTCCTTTGCAAGCCATTTGGTCCCAATGATTTTAAATATTATTTCATAGGTCTCTAGTGCCTTTAGGTGCACTCCACTGGGCAGCGCTGGATGTAAACACTGAGATAACCTCTTGCTAATAATCAGACGCCTTGGTAAAAGGGAGTACTTCAAATTACTTTGAAGAGCCTGTAAAATAATGGTGGGAATTAAATGTTATAACTTATATCAACATTAGTCAGCAAATGAACTTAGCTAAAGCTTTACTGTAATCTTCTACTTAACAGAACTAGCCTTCAGAGAGCTGAGGCTGCTGAAGAGGCCAAAGATCATCTCAGCTGTGAGTCCTGGAGAACCTGCTCCCTGCCTTGCTGGCCTTTTTCCACATGGCCTGAGAGGGTGGGGCTGGGACTGACTCCAGTTACAAAATCTGAAGCTGCCGAAAACACTCTTGGGCTGGAGTACTGTTTGTGTGTGTGAGGGGGCTATTGCTGTTACTGGTTTTAATTGTTTTGTACCTTTATTTCAGATCTTATGTGGAAATTGTTTCAATTTGGTTGTGTATTTTTGGTGTTTTATTTATTGTTTATGGCTTTTCTTATGTTGTAATTATGTAGTTTTTCATGCTGTAAGCCACCTTGAGCATGGTTTTGACTATGGAAAGACAGCACAGAAATCAGATTATGTATGCATGTTGTTACTAGCAGACTTATGGGAACATGGGTAGCGCTCTGGTCTAAACCACTGAGCCTCTTGGGCTTGCTGATCAGAAGATTGGCAGTTTGAATCTGTGCAATGGGGTCATCTAGTTCACCCTGCTGCAATGCAAGAATCTCAAAATGTGGTCCCCATACAATTTGACTATGTACACAGTTGCGCTACCAACCCCTGTTCACCACTCTGAATCTAGGGACTGGTTTCAGAAGGACAGAATTGTGTTAAACAAAGGCGTATTTTGTGGCATAGAATAGTAATAGTTATCTCTTTTCACGGAAGTCCTAGAACAGGCAGAATATGTAAAAGCTAGAATATATAACTGGGTTGGGAGCAAGTAGACAGAGTGTAAACATCTGGACTATTTGTTAAGGGTGTGTGAATTGCTATGTTGAGTTTGCAAAAGTAAACTGATCAAAGATCCAAACGACTGCAGCTAATTTGTGATCCATAATGCAAAAGAATATGACATTGGTAAAATATTTAAAAATTCATTCAACAAGGGTTTTCCCCCCTCGTGTTTTATATTACAAATTTAAACCCATCTCGAAAATGTTGCTACACGTTTTCATTTGTACAAACAAATGGGTGCAAGGGCTGTATTGCTATGTCACTCAAACATTCAGCTGAACAGCTCATGGGGGCACTAAAACTTCTTATCAGAAGGACTCAGTTACCCTATTTGTCACATGATAAGGAAGGAGTATGAAGCAATGGTCCACACATCATGCTAAGCCAGGCCTTGCCTCAGTGCAAATGTGTGGGTTCTCAGGAAGGAGCTCCCAGCCACTTTGTTCTTCTCTGGTCCTTTTTGGTGCAGGAGTGAGCTAAGCTAAGGTTTTCTTAATGCGTCATCTGAACCTAGCTGATAGTTAAGCTCTTGCCTGACTAGCAATGAGCTGTATTATTATTAATACTAACAGTAATAGTAATAAGAATAACCCGCCCTTCGGTCTATGTTCCCAGGGCAGGTCACAACAATTTAAACTGCAACATTAAAATAGCTTAAAGCAAACTACCTATAGTTTTAAGGCAGCAAATAAATTTTGAAATACTGTAAATCAAACACTGTTCAACATTACTATGACAAGTTAGCCGGGTCAACATCTGCTACAACATCAAGACCTGTCAACTGGAAAATCCCCACTATCCTGTTGAGAACTTAGTTTATACCATTAAATCTAATTAAGACCAATTACAATCACTGCCCGTAACACCAACGAGGCATTTAAGACCCAGAAGCTCAGCATGTGATTTACTACCTGCAGCAGAAAAAGACAAGAAAAAAACCCTACACATGTAAGTTTGAAGCAGATGGGGAAAGAGTATTAATGCACATGTAAGCAAAGGAGTTCAAGCTAGTACTGTACAGCTTTGCTTGGCACACATAAATTAAGTGTGCATCTCAAACTAAGATTAATTTGCAAGTAGTCATTCTGCCTTGACCACTGCATTTATGTGCCACAAATACCCATGTTCTAAGCAAATGGAGCACATTCCAGTGAACATTTCAAAGAAAAAACTTCTTATTTTCCAAGGTTTTCCTGTTGTGTTATGCCAGTGCCTAGCAGCTACGGAGTAGTTTCAACTGAAGAAGCAAAGAACAAACTAGGTGAGTATGGTCCCCAATGTTAATTTCTCTCTCTCTCTCCAAAGATGGGGAAGTTAAGCAGTTCCTCTACTTAACTTGTAGCCTCCCAGAGCTGTTCTTCATTAAACATACTCACACAAAATGAAGAGACTGTTACATGCATCTGTTGCATAACGTATGCTGTGGGCATGAATAAGAGTTGTTCTGCATGATTCTATTCCATTGCCAACAGGAAGAAAATGCTACCATTCCCATACCAACGTGAATAGTCAGTACATAAAAGCCCATATTAAAAACAGGTAAGAAGGTCATGGTAGAATTGTTACAGAAAACTTCAAGAAAGAACAGGGAAGAAAAGAAAGCAATAGGAGTTGGCTTATGCACATTCACAGCGGCAATAGCAAAAGTGAGATACGGCAAAGATTTTTTAAATATTTTATATATGCTGTTATAAAACTTGCAGCTGGCCAGCATATAAGAGGGAATAAGTCTAAGATGATGCCTGCAAAAGGAAGTACATTTCAAAAATTCAAAAATTACCAACAAAAATTGTCAATCAGCACAATTTGTATAAAACTCACTGACTGATCTACAAATATATTTTAGGATTATCAGTCCGCTATTAGGATTAGCTACTGCAAATATTTTTGCACATGCCTGTTAACTCAGACCAAGCTCAAAGTGTACAGGATTACAGAGTATACTGGGATTGGTCTGTGCGGTGCCACACCACTGACCTCTCAAGAGCTGCAGCTTATAAGGACTGTGAGGAGATGGGTCAGGGTGCTGGTGAAGTCAGGACTACATGGGTGGGCCAAGAGTGCCAATCCAGCACTCCCACCAGTGTGCCTGTGCAGTCTCTACCTTGCTGCCACCCTGACCTACCCTGCACCATTTAGGTAAGTGGCAGCAATGCTTTTGTCAGAAGGATGGTAATATGGCACCACCTCATTACCCCAGATGGCCCACTTGGGGCACTTGATGTCATTGGGGCAGGCACCTCTAGCCACCCAAAGGGAGTGGGGAAGATAAACAATCCAGCACACTTTCTGGATCCAGTTTCCCACCCCGATATAGGTTACTGCAAAACAACGAAAGGATTAGTGGAACAAACAGGTATTGAGGAATGTGCAAGCAAAGCATAGCCTAAACCAGGGTTTCCCAAGCTGTGGTCCATGGACCCCCAGTGTTCCATGAGCTAAATTTCAGGTGATCTGCAGTGTGTCTGAATTAGGGGCTAGGCGATACCAGCTAATGTGTATCACTAGCCAATATACCGTGATATACCATGATGTTGAAAAAACAAGGTGCATTGGCCTTTGCCTGTGAGACACTGGGTGAAACCGCCCCAGCTCTCACCTTGAGGGGTGAGGCAGTTTCACTCAGGCTTCTGGGCTGGGACAGTGCAGCTTGTTTGCGCCACTCAGCTGGTGGTTGTGGAGGGACGTCCTCAGTTGAGCAGTTTAAAGATGCAGACACAGCTTGTTTTTCCCTCTCCGTTGCAAGAGGGCAGAGTGGGATGGCGGTTTCACTCAGCGATATACTGATATATTGCCCAGACCTAGTCTGAATTTGTGGTTGAAGATGAAAGACAGCACATCCATCATACTGAAGATTCATACTGATTTTTAATTGCATTGTATTTTTATTGCTTCTTACATTGTACAACTTGCCATTTGAATTCTATGAAACTGCAACTGCTGCAACAGGCAGAAAACTCATTAAATGGTCTGCCAAGAGCAGGCATAGGTAAACTCGGCCCTCGAGATGTTTTGGGACTACAACTCCCATGATCCCTAGCTAACAGGACTAGTGGTCAGGGATGATGGGAAGAATAGTGAAACTAGAGGAATTATTGTGGAGATAGAAAAAAGGAAGCAAAGATCCAGGGGAAAATGGAATGTGTGGAAGTCTTTTCTTAAGGCCTCACAGCGACCTAGGAGTTTATCGCAAGAACTGATTTACCAGAGCTAAAGGGAACTTTTCCTTTTGAATTATGGGTCATGGTTTTACTCTACAGAAACAAGTGTCATGCAGGCAAAGGCAATGATGGGAAACTGAAAGTAAGCAGGGTTTTTAAGGTTCCCTTCAGTCTCTAAAGGAAGGCAACTTGTTTCCCTTGAGACCCCTTAATTGGGGAAAGGAAGAGATGGGTTGAAAGGAGAGCAGGAGGCTGCGCATTCCCCTTAGGACACAGCTGGATCAAAATCCGGTCAAAGATAGATGAAGGGTAGGAAACAATGGGAGGAAAGGAGGTAGGAAGGGGAGCACGCCAAATTAGGGTTGGAGAATTCATCTCAGGAGATATCGCATGAAGACTGAAGAACACCAGGGTCCCTGGAGAGAGAACTCTTAAAAGATTTTGCCTTCCTTGGGATGAAGCTTATCCCAGCACAAAGGAAGATGAAGTGATCTATAGTATTTGGTAAGCTGGTTGGACGCAAGCCTCCAGGCTACTGGCACTGAGTGAAAAAGTGGAAGCAGGTTCCCTGTGCATAACTAGACAGAGGATCAAGGTCAACAGAGCCATCTTCTTGCATCATAATGACATCAGGTGATTGGCACGGAAAGTGCATCTTCAGAATAGGTTGCCATAACCACCAACTGGGAGTTACACACACTTCCTTTGAGCTTTGACAGGTGTCAATCAGCTGGAAGGAACTGGGAGAGTGCCTTCAAAAGGGCTTGCTCTGGAAAGAGAGAAATGCTCTGTTTTAAACAGGGCATTTCCTCCCCTGCACAGGAAATGGCTTGGATTGAAAGCACTGTGAATGGTTTTTTCCAACTCTTTTGGATGCACTAGGGAGCTGCAGACAGGGAACTCCCCAGGGCGGCTACTGACTGTAAAGGGAGCTCCTCTTGCAAAGGAAGAATCAGGAGCTCTCTTTAAGATCCTGACAGTTCCTTCCTAGCTGCATATGTAGGAGTGCTTTCTGACAAATTCTTTCATGGGTCAAATCTGGACCAGCACCAGCCCTAATTAGTCTTGCAGGGTAGAGATTCCCCACCTCTGGCATCAGGGTAAGCACATATTCTGTTTATGATATGCTACTGTTTAACTATAAGCCCTTGCTTTGCACAGTTGCATCCAGAACGACGCTTTTTTGGAGTCAAAGTGCTAAGGCAGGGATGAAGAACCTTTTTAATCCCAAGTGCCACATTCCCGTTTGGATAACCTTCTGCGAGGTGGCACATACCTGTGGTGGGCAGTGCCAGAGGCTAAAAGAGGCAGAGCAATGAACATGAATTTTACTTTTGTACAGTAAACTAGTTTCTACACATACTCACACACCCTTCTTGTATCTTCCATCCAGGCAAACAAGAAGCACTACCCAAGCTTAAGGACACATTTGAGCCAGGCAAAAAAATCAAGGCAGGAGAGGGATATGGCTGGGGAGAGCTGAGGGCCATATAGAAAGGCCTGGAGGGCCAAAATTGGTGTTTGACCCTGAGATTCCCCCCCCCCTTCACTGAGTGGTACACTTAAGATGGCAACAAAGCTGAGCTCCTTAGTGACATGAAATACGAAGTGTGGATTTTGCTGGTATATGTGTGACTTGGTTCAATCACAAAGCATTCAAACCACAACAGAAAAGTGACCAACCATTCTTGAAAGTTGTCACACTACACAGGGTAAAAAATACTGTTAACTCACGTCAGTGATATGGGAAGTTGCATCACGGCAATTCATGACTTAGGAAATTTCAAACAAGATACAATTTCAAGAGAATCAACTAGATTTTTGGAGGCATAGTTGTCCACACAATCCAGCATGGCTGTTTGGAGGGTTTTATTTTTCTGCCACTATCTGTCCCTCCAAACTATCATTTGCAGCTGCTATTGTACTTCTGTAAAAATTGCTTTGTTTCATTTTGTAATTGCCTTTTGTACTACAATACCATCAAGAATCTGCTTATCAACAGCTTGTCAAAATTATATACAAACTGTAAACCTATCTACTGTAAACCTATCTACATTTCATAATGTGCTATAAAAATTTCATTTTTATTTTTTTGAACAACAGTAAGAACAGCAAAAAAAACGGATACTGTACCTTGTTAAGTTTACCAAGAGAAGATATAAGATCTGCCCATTCACTCGATGATTCAAAGTTCCTTAAAGCTTTATCAATTGCTGAAGAATAATTTCTGTATCTATAATCACCAAGCAGCTCCTGCTCTTCAGGGTCCATTTTAAATTTTCATAGCCAAAATGTTCTTGGAAACAGAAACAAAAACAAACTCTGATCAGATCTTAATGGCATTTTATATACTGTACTCATTATTTGTGAAATGTGTATGCAGTTGTCCTTAATGAGGGTCACTAAACACACAAGATTAGCTGATTTAATGCTCTTCTTGCTGAATTAAATTCTACCAAAAAACGTGATCCCACTGCTTTGAGGCTGTAATTCAGTTCCAAAGATGCTTTGAAACTGCAAGGACCATTCACTGTTTCATACAAAATTTCAGAAATACAAGAAAGTTACTCATCAGTTATTTTACTGATAATGTGACATGATAAGATAATTAAATACTCCAAACTGCACACATTCACATAAACTAGAACGTCCCACTTTCTAGGACAAAATACCCGTTAACATTTAAGGCTGTGTTGATACTTGAAATAGTATTGCTACAGACATGTCTGCTTTTTTCTTCATCTAGAAACCCCAGTATTTTATATAAAAATTGCTCTCACTGGAATCAGATTAGTAATTTTTCTGTTATGGGAAACCAAGAGGTTTTTATTTATTCACTGTAAGAATGACAATAGACAATTGCTCTACTCGGTACTCGTAATTTATGAATCCTATGCCGGTTCAGTTGTATAACCAAAGCATGTCAAACTGCACTAATGGTTAACAAATCACAGTTTTTCAGGCTCAAATAAGCATCTAAAAATTAAGATTACTGCAAATTGGTTCAGACTACAACTTGGCATTTCATGCACAAACAGGCTTGAGCCTCGGGTTTGCGTGGACTCTCTACCACTTTGTGCACATGATTTCTGCACTTGCTTCCGGATTCTCAGCAAACCCTAACTTGCCATTTTGTCTGAACTGGGGTAAATCACTGTTTGCCTACAAGTCAGGGATTGATTTTGGCAAACAAGTAAGCAATGGTTTGTCCAGTTTGGACAACATGACAACTCGAGGCAGGGCGCGCACACAAGCCTGCCACCCAAACCTTTTCATGCACATAATGTTGTATATCAAACATTTTAACCAGCAGCAATGGAAAGGAATCCATAATTATATATGGCAAGCCTGTCATTAGGGTCTAACAGTACACACTTCACTACTAAAAGAAAATAGGTTTTAGGCATTTGTTGCAATTGACCCAGAGTGAAACTTGAAGCAGGTGTGGCTGGCCTGTGGCCCTCCAGATGATGTTGTAGTCCAGATGGGAGTTGTAGTCCAGAAACAGCTGGATGACCACAGGTTCCAAACTCCATTCTCACGTGCATTACTTGGTTCAGGCTTCTTCAAACTTGGCCCTCCAGATGTTTTTGGCCTACAACTCCCATGATCCCTAGCTAGCAGGAACAGTGGTCAGGGAATTGTAGTCTCAAAACATCTGGAGGGCCGAGGTTGAAGAAGCCTGACTTGATTTAATTGGTTTGCCAAACTTAGCAACTGTATATATTGCTTCTGATACTATGTTTTCATTTAATTAACATTTAATAAAATAAATGCACAGTAGTGATTATTATTTTTTCCATCTGTCAGGAAACTGAGATATGTTTTAATTCACAGAGGCAGATGTAAACAGGAACTGAACACTTTCCCGCAAGCCTCAGTGAGCAAGTTAACAATTAACTCTTTATAAAGGCAAAAGCAAATGTAGATAGAAGGAGTTGCTTTCTTAGATTAAGAAAGCTGCTCAGTATGCTATATTATTAAGTGGGGGATCTTGGAGAAACATACCAGCCATTCTTATCATATGACTTTAGAAGCTATGGGCTGTATTTGCTGTAGCGCTAAGGGTATCTTTCCATTGGTGACAGCATTTTTGCTTACCATATGTAACAATACTCTCTCTCTCCTTCCCCTGCATACTGTTCCAATGGTTCTCTCAAGGGAAATCCCATTGTGCTAGCAGAAGCCCTTGTCCTGGCTTCTGCAAGTGCAATGCCCTAGTTGAATATGGCTCATATATTTTAATAGTCAATAAAATCTTCATGCTGGGCTTTTCAGCAGCTTTCATTACTATCAACCACGTAGAAAATGATGTATGTGCCACATCTTAATAACCATGAGAGAAAGTGTTGTGTATTTTTCAGGCAAATGGCCATGACTTCATGGTGGCAGGGGAGTTTAATAAGGGAAAGACACAGTCAAAAGAGGCCACAAAAGAGACAAGATCAACTCAGTATTCAGAACTGCTATTTGGAAACCCTAACGGCCTCCCAGAAACCAGTTTGAAAAAAGCACCAGCAAAGGTATCTATGTGTGTGGAGGTGAATTGTCCCACACAGCATGAGCCCCAGGTGACCAGCTAACATCTTTCTAAAAAGAGTAAGCTTCTAGCAGTCAAGGAAGTGAGATATGAGACAAAATGTACAGCTGCCATTTTTCTCATTTTACTAGCCTTTTTCACTAGCTGATGCAAACTTTAGTCTAGTAGAAGTCCCTCTAAGCGGCTGTATTCTTATCAATACCTCCTGCAAAGCAGGCAGAAATATTCCTGGTCAAGAGCTGGAAGGACAAACATCCTCTATTATCAGAAGTGTGCAGAAGAAATAAAGTGATCAGATCTGCCCCCTAATCCAAATTACCCCTGGTTACGAACTTAATTCATTCCAGAGGTCCGTTCTTAAGCTGAAACTGTTCTTAACATGAGGTATCACTTCAGCTAATAGGGCCTCCCACTGCCGCCGTGCGATTTCTGTTCTCATCCTGGGGCAAAGTTCTTAAGCCGAGGTACTATTTCCGGGTTAGCGGAGTCTATAACCTGAAGTGTTTGTAGGTGTTTGTAACCCAAGGTACCACTGTATATGTTCTGTCACTAAAATTTGATGGCTATCATTCAGAACCTTGATGGCCCTTTGTATACTCTAAACTTGAAGTCTGGTTTTCAAAAGCCTAATTAAGAGTGTCACCAATCACTGGTAGCCTGGCAACTCACCCATTGCCAGTTTACATCTTGGATATGGTCCCTATGCCTCAATCAGTAAGTGAGAAGGGAAAACCTACATCAATTACAACATCTTGAATCAAATGGTGCACTACACCATGTAAAGCTGCACTGCTAAAATTCTTATTTTTAAAAGGCCACTAAAGGTTTGGGAACCATGGATAATGAGGGTTTGTTATCCAAGTATGACAGCCTTGAAAATGAACAAAGAACACAGGACAATTAGGAACTTATTCTGGAAAAAAGATCAAGTACAGAATAAAACAAAATGCACTAAAAGAAAAACAGCAACCAGACATTTGTTTTTAAAATGCAACTTCTGGTCAAAGCACACACAAGACTCATAAAACGGGGACAATAGACCATTCATGTAAATATTGTTACAATGCCCTCTACTTATCTCCATTTAGCTTACAGACAGGGAAAAACTGCAGCGTTTGGCAGTGATGCATTGTCCTGCGGAAGCCAAACCTGTTCTACCGAGCCTGTTTACTGGTGCTAAAATCAGTGCTTCTCTCAAATCACCCCCCCCCTTCATTTCAGCTCTGCCAGATCATTCAGACACACAATGGTGTGCAAATAAGGCGAGGTGGGGAAAGATACAGCATCGATTATGCAGTAAAACAGCTTTTCCTCCCCCCGCCCTTCTTTCCCTCTCCTCGCCTTTGACAGGCTGCTGCTCCTACATAGCAAACACAACCCAACAGCTGTTCCCCAGCAGCAGCAACATAACAGGCAGCTGCAGAAGCACCCGAGAGGGGGGCGGGCAGCAGGATGCAGACAACCTGTAGAATCGCAGGCACTGCTAAACACGTAAACAAACAAAACAAACAAACACGTGTTTATGCCCTCTAACATTTCTACGCCTGCCTATGTGGAGAAGCGAGGGAGAGCGCTGGCTTCCACCTTTTCCCCTCCTCGGTTGAAATCAGGAACAAGCACCATTTCAGAAATATAGAGAGAGAGAGGTCCTGAAGGGATGTTTAAGGGAGAAAATGGGGTATTTGCTTTCTTTCCCCCTCTCCCCACCTGCACTTCATTGGTCGGGGGGCAAACTGGTCCCTTCGTGGAGGGAAGAAGGTCCCGTCCCCCCCAGCCGTCCTCCCTATGCAGAAAAGGGAGGGGAAAGAGGAAGCACTGGCTGGCTTGACTTCCTCAATTGCAGCAGCACTTTGTCCCCCATCTTCCCTACTCACCAACTGAGGAAGGAGCAGGCGGTGGCGGCGGCAGAGGCGTCGCGATGGCTGCTGCTGCTGCTGCTGCTGCTTCCACCGCGGAGGAAGGGCTCGCGTCGCCGCCGCAGCTTCGCTGAGGCTCCCCGGCCGCTTCCCTCTCCTGCGACGTGTCCCGCGGCTGGGCGGGGCCGAGGCGGGAGCCAGAGACTACAAGGAAGGGCGGGGGCGGAATCTCCCGTCGCCATGGCGCCCGGGCTACTACGCCTCCTCTTCGCACCCTCCCCTTGCCCTTGCCGGATGGGGGAGTACCATTTCGAAGCACGGGGGGAGGGAAAGAATGGTGACAGCAAGATTTACGGGACCCCGCTTTTTCTATAAAGTGGCGCGGAGCCTCGCCTCGTCCCCGTTATCGTCTTCCCAGCCGCTTCAGCGTGGACAGCTCGCCTTGGCGATGTTTAAGCCGGATTCAAAGGCGCAGCTGCCCACCCCCGCCCCGATGAGATGGTGCGTCCCAACATAGCGCGTTTGGGCACGTCTCTAGCTCCACCTGCTGGCAGAAGCGGAGGCTGCAGGATTGTTTTGGTTCGAGTGTGGTACTAATCTCGGAGTACATAGGTCGGGCTGCTGCGGGCAGTTTGGGAAATGCCAATCTCGTAATTAAAAGAGGGGCTTAATCTGAGTCCCTGCATCCATTGGCTGGATCCTGCAAAAAAATCGAAATGATACTGTTTGGGCCATGTGGACAGCTATTTCTACAAGAAGAGAGCAAGAGCAAATGTTACCTGATGTTTCACTATTGGCAAAATTGAGGATTGTGCTTTGGGGGTCGGGGAAGAATTTGGATTTCCCTTTGTAGTATTACTACTACTACTACTACTACTACTACTACTACTACTATGGTTGTAGATTTTTAGAGGTAAACCACTTTATAAATAAACCATATATTGCAAAAAATATCACAGCCTCCAGTGAGCTGAACCTTGTGTGACTGCTGTATCCCTTGAATGATTCATTGCTCGGAAATAACACCCACATACTGTATGTATATTAACCTAACCCACCTTTCATATTCCTGCTCACTAGGATTGGCTGAAACTAGTAGCTGAGCAGCAGCTCTCTGCGATTTTCAAATGAGGACCTCCTGCATCAGCAGCTGGAAGAGTTTAGCCAGGGCTACAAATGTAGAACAACCTAGGAGAGACTAGGCTGAATGTGCATTTCTGCTTCCTCAAGTGTCAAAGCTGAGCCTCCAGCCAAAGTGAGTAAAGCAGCCAAGCCAGTTCAGCAACAGGGCAGACTGTGTCCCTCCCCTTAGTGAACTTACAAGCCCCAGGTTCCCAAGTAAATTAACTCACTCAACAACAATATCTGCTGGTAGAATGCCAGCAGAGGTGCGGGAGCGATCCAGTGTAGCACAGAATGTTGTATGTCTTCCTGATGGACAGAATCGGGGGTGGGGTACTCAGTGCAAATCAGTCCTGGACCTCAGGGAGTTAGTTTGCTCCCTTGGGGCCAAGGTAGTTGACCTGGATAAGCAGAGGTTTGTAGATGAGACCTTCATAAAAGGTAAAGGTACCCCTGCCCGTACGGGCCAGTCTTGACAGACTCTAGGGTTGTGTGCCCATCTCACTCAAGAGGCCGGGGGCCAGCGCTGTCCGGAGACACTTCCGGGTCACGTGGCCAGCGTGACATCGCTGCTCTGGCGAGCCAGAGCCGCACACGGAACGCCGTTACCTTCCCGCTGGTAAGCGGTCCCTATTTATCTACTTGCACCTGGGAGTGCTTTCAAACTGCTAGGTTGGCAGGCGCTGGGACCGAACAACGGGAGCGCACCCCGCCGCGGGGATTCAAACCGCCGACCTTTCGATCGGCAAGCCCTAGGCGCTGAGGCTTTTACCCACAGCGCCACCCGTGTCCCTTATCCAGTTGACCTGGATAAGCAGAGGTTTGTAGATGAGACCTTCATAGGACATGATAATTGCATCCCACTCAATCTTTGTTCCACCGACAGCTTTGATTCTGCAAATTTGCTCCAGCTGCTGGAACAGATCAGTGAGGTGGGAAGTTATTCTGGTGGGGGCTTCTCTGGAAAGCTCACCTGTTTCTCCCAACGTAGCAATTCTGGTTGCCTTTTCTGACCATGGTAGTGGGTGATTTGATCTTTAGGGACATGGATAACTGGGTTTGTGATTGGTTTGTTGATCATACTTGGCTTTGAAAGAAAGAATATTTAAAAAGTAACCTAATAAAAAAAACTTTAATCATGATGTTAAGAAGCTCTAAATAAGCAGGTCATTGTAACAGTTCATAATTTATTCAAATCTCACAAAAGTTCATGTAAAATACTATTTGCCTGATTCAGAGTTACATATATAGAATAGGTTAGCCGTACCAATATAATTGCATTTAATTTCTCCTGCAAAGTGCTTTTGCATTCTCATTTTCTTACAAGTAGTAGAGATGTAAAAGAAGGAACAGCAAGCTTTTGGCTCCACTTCTTTTTTTTACAGGAGGGATATAACAAAATAGTAGGAATTAAGAGTTTAATTATAGGGCATCATTTTAGCCAGCAGCTGGTTTTCAATGCAAGGGCTCATATGACAGGGATCTTTATTTTATTTTGTTTAACTATGTTGGCTATGTCTGTATTTTCCTCCACATTGAATAACTACAGCTGGCAGCTATTATTCTAGGGTTACAGGGCATGGCCCTTGATATAAGCATCTCTATTTTTTTTAAGGGTGAAGGCAGCACTAAAGATGTAAAAAAACACACACCACATGCGAGTAGCGACAGGTGTTTGTGTATGTGGATGAGAGAGATGCACATGTTTCTTTACATGTGAAGTTGTACAGTGTTTAAATTAATATTGTGATTGTAACTGACCACAGAGCCAACAGGGAAGGTAAAAAAAATTTCTCCATCCATCCTCCTCTTTTCTAGAGCTCTACTCATTAAGAGCCAGCTGCAATATCTCAGATAAGCTCCAGTTATTTTATTTATCAGTTATTATTAAAACAATTTATATAGCACTTCACTACAATAGCCTTTAAGTGATTTACAAAGAATACAAAAAATAAAAATCAGTTAAAACTATAAAAGAAAACTACAATTAAAATGCCTGCTGGAATAAAATTAGTCTTCAGTAGGCACTGGAGGCTGTCTGATCAGAAGCCTGTCTGATCTCAACTAGAATGGAGCGCCATATAATTGGGCACATGCCAGAATTCACCAAGTTTGAACCGTTTTGTCACTAACAAACTGCCCGTGGGGCCCATCGGCTCCCGGGGGTAAAAGGGCCAAATACACTGGAGTTTCAGCTCCCTCATCAGGAGATTTGGGGGCTTTAGGACCTGCCATGTCAGTCCTGACCCAGCCAGGGCAACAGGCATTCAGAAGAATACCATCACCTTTTCTTGTCTCATTCAGGCGCCTTGCTTGAATTCTGGACAAAACCGTTACCCCGATTTTGGTCACCCCATAAGCTGTACTTGGCCAACCCTCCTTCTCATGCACTCCCTTCTTGGTGTCTTCTACAAATTTTTCCATGAGTTTCACTAGTTCCTCTTCAGTGATTGTCTCACTCCGAAACTTCTGCTGTAGTTCTGGGCTGCACATGGCCAAGGCCCGGACACTCATGACACTGGAGACATTCACTACTCTTCCTGTGACAAAAAAAAAGAAGATAATTCCATAATAACCAATGGGCCATATCCAACTGAGTTGCACTCAAAGTAGACATACTGGGCAGACCTAAGTTAGGCAAGCCAATTATTTATAATGGGTCCCCTCTGAGTAACGCTAACGTTGGGTACATGGGCGTAGCCAGGATTTTTGTTAGGGCGGCAGAACCTCAGATTTGTATTTATTTGTATTATTTTAGGGGAGCTGCTACCCCCTTGGCTACACCCATGATTGCGTACAATCCAATACTTTGCAGAGCAAGTAGAAATAATAAGTGTCATACAGCAAGTAAATAATGAAGAATAAATCATAAGCAAGTTTCATACACAAGACCAGAAACCTTTCTATGATGCCATGGAGATATTCTAAAATAAGAAACGGTTGATGGAAAATCTAAAATATATATGCTGTGTAATTTTAGTTTAATAGCTCTGAAGGCTATCACAGTGGCATTTAACACATACACTCAGTGCTTTTTTCTGGGGGTACTCAAAGGTATGGTGAAAAAAAGCACTGTATACAATGTTTGGACATTTCAAGATAGAATGCAGCAGTTACTTAGAGTTGATCAATAGTGCAGTATGATGCCAGTAATTTCACTAGCTTCTCAAAATAGCTAGAAATCTGAATCATCTGACAGGCTGCTGATTTTACAATATTGTATCACACAGAACAGAAAACAAATCCAGTTTGCTCCCCCTGCCCCTTCTTCTTCAATAAATCCATGTGATAAACCTCACTAAGCCCTATCTGGCTTAGTTCAACTTCTATTTGTCTCTTGTTTCATGTACTACATAAAGAGTGCTATCCTGTCCTTTTTACACGATGGCTGTAAAGAACAGGATCAGACTTGAAAAGCTCAGTTGGTCTGTCTGTCTATCTGTTTGTCTGTTGTTATTAATAATTACTCATTTTGATTTCCTACCTGCACTACTATAAGGTCTCAGGATGGGTTGTGACTATTTAAAAATACAATATTTACTCCTGCAGGAGGAAAATGCAAAGCTCACCTTGTGGTTTAATAAGTGGTAATAACTCGTTGCAAATATTTCTGGTTGCAAAGAAGTTCGTTTTCATGGACACTTCTGCTTGTGTAGGAAACGGTGTGGGGTCCTCCACTTTTTATTGGGCAAAGAAAACGGAAATACAAAAATATGCATTAAGGTACAAATGCACACAGTCTTACCAGCACGTACACTAAAAAGGCAAACAACATAGTCCACTTATGGTCAACGCTAGTTGAAATTACATTGTGCAGCTGTAACATTATTGAAAACCTTGCTACAGCCTTTAACAACCTGGTGCCCTCCAGATGTTTTAGACTATCCCATCAACCCCCAGCCAGCTGTTGTATATTTTACTTGTTTGGTAACCTGTCTGCTTGTTTGGGGGATTATAGGGTTAACTTGGAAACCTAGCAAATACCTCAAGGCTCAAATATCAAGTTAATTAAAACTCCTTGGTATGTGAGAGTTGCCTCATCTCTGGCTAAGGTGCTTCATGTGATTGACAGGAATCTATATTATTGCACACCACCCCAATCTCTGAGTAGTGAAGGATTCTAGGGGTTTAGGCATCGATGCAGGGTTCATGTTTCCTTTTGGGAATAAGGCATGGCAGAGGCTGTGATGTCTTTATGATATACAGTATATATACATAGGTAAAGGACCCCTGGACGGTTAAGTCCAGTCAAAGGCAACTATGGGGTTGCGGTGCTCATCTT